ACTCCTGGGGGCTCTGCCCCTGGACCCCACAAGGGCCCTAAGGCGGGGCCCTGGATGCTCATCTGACCGTAATTAAATATCTAAAACCTCTGAGCTTCAGGAGAGCCCCCTGGATCACATCAATGGCCTTAAAGAGGGCACCTGGATGCTCATCTAACCGCAATTAAATACCTAAAACCCAGCCCCGTGGACTCCACGCCAATTAGTGACCTGCCAGTGTCACAAAATAATGAGGTATCTAAATATGCTTATCTGACAGTAATTTAATGCCTAAAAATCCTGACCTTCCGGGGGCTCAGCCCCTGGACCCCTCGCCAATTTACGCTCTACCTGATCGTTAATACTCCACTTTGAAAAACGTTCCGCGGGGCCTGCATGTAACGTTTGTAACGTTTTTCTTCTGCCCCCCCCCCCCCTTCCGAATCATTTTTGCTCATTACACCACTGCCCCTGGAAGGTGAGCCCCCATTGAATGTTTGCCCCCCCCCCCCATCCCAAACTGCTTCAGGCGCGCCTGCTTATATAAATGCCCCCTTTCACCTATGAAAAGTGTTCCTTTTGATTCACATAAGGGCCCCTTTTCATCTCTGGTAATTGACCCTCTTCAGGTAAAAGAAGTTACCCCTTTTCACTTCAGATAAGTGCCTCCTTCACGTCCGATAATTATTGTCCCCTTTTAAAATCTGTGAGATGTTCGTTTTACTTTGACAATTGCCCCTTCCCCTCCTGATAAGTGCTCTATTCATCTCTGATCTCTGGTAAATGACCCTTTTCAGGTAAGAGAACTTACTTACTCCTTTTCACTTCTAATAACTGCCCTCAGTTATTTTGACACGTGCCCCTTTTCCTTTCTAATTAATACTCTTTTGCCTTCTTATTAGTACCCCTTCCCTATCTCATAATTACCCCTTTTCATCTCTGATAAGTGCCCCGTTTATTTTATCATGTGCCTCTTTTTATTCATTTTTAATAAGAGCCACCCCCCGCCCTTCTCATAAAAGCCCACTTTCACCTCCGATAAATGCCCCTAATAAAATCTTATCGGTGCCCTTTTTCTTTCAACAAATTCACATTTTCCTTTATTATAAGTGCACCTTTCCATTCTCATAAGTGCCCCTTTTTATATCTGCTCAGTGCCTCTTTTCAGGTGTAAGAAGTGCCCCACGTTCACCTCTGATAATAACCGTTTGTACTTTGACACGTGCTCCTTTTCTTTTCTAATAATATCCCTTTCGATAAGTGTCCCCTTTTCCTCTCATCATTAAACGTGCCCCTAATTTGAAGCGACTAAGAGAAAGTTCCCCAAAACTTGCTCGCATGTATAGATGAATATTTATGTTACTTATCAAATGTCATTTCAGTCTTCTGTTAAGAGAATGTGCTTACACCCCGATCAGGATTGTTTTTCCCCCTCTTTATATAAGATGTAATTTTTTGCACTGCGACCTCATAATTCTTATTAAATTTTCCTCGCTCGGCGCTTCACTCGCTCGCAAATGAATATTCATACCATCACTCCCGACTGCAAAATATCTTGTATGATGTATAAGAAGAGAAACAATTATTGAAATCATTCCTGATATAAATTTAATCACAATAATTATACCAATGTCTAAAATATTGTATATTTTCGCCTTGAGATTTCCCTTTGCAGGTGCCCTTTTTTTTTTTTTTTTTTACTGGTGCCCCCCACCCCGCCCCCCCCCCCCCCCCCCCCCCATTTCGAAGTCGTTCCGCCGCCTCTGGGGGGAGCGGTCGTGTAGGTCCAGCAGGCTTTCCTATATAGAATTTCTAGAAAGTTGCTATTTCAAGTGTTTCTGTATTTCTCTCTTGCACTATCCACAGTCCCAATTTGCGCAAAGTTTGTCAAGTAAAATAGTCTCTCAATATTGTATTCAACCGCAAAGTCACGTCATCTTTTTAATCCAAGGGACAAGGACAAGGAAGATTATTTAAATACAATTTACCAGGCCTATTGTTGTTTTTAATTTAACTTTTTCAAAATTATTATTCAATATTCATCTATTCCAGCTTCCCCCCCCCCCCCCTTTTTTTTTTTTCTTTAAATAGTAGTTTTGGCGATCCTTCTCCCTTATTCTTGGCAAATTGGTCTTAGAAGACTGAAATGTTAAACAAAGATCGAGGAAAATCCACTTAAGGATAAGAAAATTTGAAGTAACAAATTTGTGATTGATCAACAAAAAACTGGTAAAATCTGTGATTTTCTTTGCGAGCAGCTCCCAAAATTTCTCAAAAGTTAGTGTCCGATCTATGAAATAAATTGTTTTTCATTAAAAAGAAATATTATATTTTTTTATAATTATTAGAACAAAATGAATAAAGAACTGCTCGCAATTGAAATCAACGATTGTTTTAAATATAGACCTATATGTAGCGGCTCTTACATGCCCTACTTTCACCGTACATTCATGTCTCCTGTATTTTTCCATCACGGTTATTATTTATATTCATTATTCGTACCACGTGTGTTCATTCCTCCAATCGAGCATCGTGGTTGCGCGCATCGTTCACCCGCGTATTTTCATCACCACGAGGTTTTCTCCATGCACTCCCGCTTACACCTCGGTCGAGTCAACAACTCCTGCTTACATCTCAGTTGAGTCAACACGTTTCTGCATGATTTCTTCTCCGGGCTTGTTTCTACTGTGCCTATCACTTCTATTGGCACATATCTTCACTTTCTCTGCCGTGTTCATAGGGCTGCAGTCTTCCAGTGGAACAGTTAAATCTAGTTCCGACATATGGTGCTTGGTTATCCGCTGGGAGCTGCCAGTTTCTTCACCGGTAGTCTTTCACTCACAAGAGCTCGACTCACCGCAGCTCATCTAAACATTCACCATCAAAGTTCGGCTCATCAATCGAGCGACTCACCGTCTCAGCACCACTACCGGCTTTGATGTCTGCATTTTCTTCTTTGGCCTCCGACATCAAGCGACTCACTGCTTTCGTCATCGAGCGCCACACATCTCTTCTCTTCTCTTCTATTCTCGCCCGAGAGCTACATCTACATTCATCATCATCACGAGCGTCGGCGACGACATCGCGTTCTTCACGGTTCTTCAACCACGTCAACGAAGTCGCGTTTCCGCCATCAAGCCTCCGCACATCATCGCGTGAGCCCCTTCCTTCGTTTTCATCTCTCTTCATCTTCATTGGACTTTCGACCTCATTTCCACTCTGTCGTAAGCGCTATTCACGTTCATTATGTACAAAGCTTTTATTATGTCATTACATTTCATTCAATAATGTCCATTTACCATTTTATGTCATGAATTGATGTAGTACATTCACCAATTTTATCTCTAAAGTGGTGACCCCTCGTTTACTTTGAAGCTTGGTTGTACGAATTTATTATTCCCAGACTTTTTGGACTAAGCAATGTTTTGTAAAATGTATTCATTCTGGATTTGTTATCGAATGTTTTTATGCTCTTGCATTTATACAAGTTTATTCGATGCATACCATGTCAATACTCACTGTTCTATTTTTGGCAACTAAACAGCCGTTCGCATACCATGCTTGTTGTTTACATTTTTTTTCAACATGCCATGCTTGTATATTTCCTAGGCTGTTGTAAATTACTGCATACACTATACAATACATGCACTTTTACGTTTTTATCAGCCATTGATTCTTGTGACATTTTGTACTTTGCTCATTTATATTTTTTTTCGCCTCTCATCTGTGTATTGCATACACAGCTTCAATTCTGGCAGGGGAGTAATGTAGCGGCTCTTACATGCCCTACTTTCACCGTACATTCATGTCTCCTGTATTTTTCCATCACGGTTATTATTTATATTCATTATTCGTACCACGTGTGTTCATTCCTCCAATCGAGCATCGTGGTTGCGCGCATCGTTCACCCGCGTATTTTCATCACCACGAGGTTTTCTCCATGCACTCCCGCTTACACCTCGGTCGAGTCAACAACTCCTGCTTACATCTCAGTTGAGTCAACACGTTTCTGCATGATTTCTTCTCCGGGCTTGTTTCTACTGTGCCTATCACTTCTATTGGCACATATCTTCACTTTCTCTGCCGTGTTCATAGGGCTGCAGTCTTCCAGTGGAACAGTTAAATCTAGTTCCGACATATGGTGCTTGGTTATCCGCTGGGAGCTGCCAGTTTCTTCACCGGTAGTCTTTCACTCACAAGAGCTCGACTCACCGCAGCTCATCTAAACATTCACCATCAAAGTTCGGCTCATCAATCGAGCGACTCACCGTCTCAGCACCACTACCGGCTTTGATGTCTGCATTTTCTTCTTTGGCCTCCGACATCAAGCGACTCACTGCTTTCGTCATCGAGCGCCACACATCTCTTCTCTTCTCTTCTATTCTCGCCCGAGAGCTACATCTACATTCATCATCATCACGAGCGTCGGCGACGACATCGCGTTCTTCACGGTTCTTCAACCACGTCAACGAAGTCGCGTTTCCGCCATCAAGCCTCCGCACATCATCGCGTGAGCCCCTTCCTTCGTTTTCATCTCTCTTCATCTTCATTGGACTTTCGACCTCATTTCCACTATTGTCGTAAGCTCTATTCATTTCATTGCATTTATTCATCATTATATGACCATTTAAACTCCGTGCAATATCTACAATTCTCATTTATGCATTCTCATTCCGATTCTTCGGCTTGTGCTTGGCTACACTTTGCAAGTGTACGGCCAGCCTCATCAGTACCCAATAAACATAACGAAAAGGGAATACTTTCTTTCATGTATTTTATTGTCAGTGCAACCTTGCTTCCTCGTAGCTAAAATAAAAATAAGAGTTATGTTGTGTGACGAGTGAACACGCTTTCAAATATCCATTCACAATACCTCACACTCATATCTCTATATATATATCAATTTCATATACCTTAACTTTGTCGCAAATAAAATAGGCGCTATTTAACAAGACTTTATTGAACAGTACAGGCTATAGGCACACGTACACTACTCCGAGCAAGAATAATTCATTCTGGTAGTGAGACTAGCACAACGGATCGACGCGACGTAGCAACACACAACAACATGGCGGGACCCGGTGATCCGATTTGTTTATACTGGACGTTTGACCAAGTAGCAGACTGGATTGCTGAACTTGGATTTCCGCAATACAGGGTTAGTCTACATTAATGTTTATACTTCTAGTTGAAATATTTTGTTTTGTAAGAAATCGAGATTTAAGTAATGAGCAGCATGCACGGAGATTGATTGAGCAGAGCGATGATAATTAATATTAGGTGCGAATCGGCACGGTCCACCCACTCCTGCGGGAGAGTTTGGGCAGTGGCGAAGGGTAGTGACCGCAGAAGTCGTTGCACAGCACTTAGCTGATTTGTAGTTTGGTTTCTGTAATGACGGTAGTTCAATTCTGTTATAATTTTTAGTTTTTAGCCAGGATAGGGATAGATTGAGTGTTTATTAATATTGATTACAAATCATTTTGAAATGAAAACCGTCAGATTGGTTTTGAAGTTGAACCTTGTTTTGCAACGGCGCCAATTGCATTCACAAAACAGGAAAATCTAGTGTTAATTGTTAATGTTATCTGCCAGGTCATTTCAGCTGCAAGGTGACTATGGCCTATTCCAGAATAATGAGAAAATGTCAACAACAAAACTGCCTTTTACAATGTAATAATAGTTTATGATCAAATTGAACTATCTTGGTTCAATATGTAGATAGACTAGGCTAGATCTACATTGGATCAAGTTATTTTTTGTAAATTGGTAGCAGGTGATCTTGCACATTTGATACTAGACCTAGTAGTATCATGTTAGTACTTTAGGAATCCCAACATTGAAACAAACCTATGAAAACCATGTGATGAAAATGGAATATGAATAAGCTCTCTTGACTGATGAAATCTTTATATTCTCTTCCCTCACCCTAGGACTGCTTCACAAGTAACCTTATTACAGGTAGGAAGCTCATTATTGTTGATGCCTCAACTTTACCAGGACTTGGAATTACCGACTTTGATCACATAAAGGTAAGTGCTCTTAGATCAAACCTATGAATGAAAATCTGTTTCTTCAACTGCATATCTTTCTGCAGGTAAAGAAAAGCAGAAATGTTAATTGTAAACCTGGTGAAATTAAAGATACTCAATGAAATTGTTGATAGCAGGATAAAAAAAATATGTTTGCAGTGTACATGTAGGTATTTCCAACATTAAGAGGTATGACAGTATTAAGAGTTTTTTTTTTAATATTTGTGAGATTATTCTTTTGTAGTATGACATTACAAAAATTTGAAATGATAACATAAAATAACATACATTGAAAAACTATAAGACTTATAAATTATAATTCAATTTAATAACGTGTTTTTTCTATCTTCATTTGCTACTCTTTCCTTGTTGTTCCTACATCCTTTTGGCGAACACAAATAATGTACTTGTCTCCCTGTGATTGAGAGTGATTTTAGTAAATTTATATTTACACGCGACAGAATGTTATAATTCCTGTAATACTTGTACATGTATATTAGAAACTAATAGTTATGAGTGGAACTACATGCAGATTCATGAATGTTAGATACTTTCTGAAGATTTTTTTTTTTTGTAATCAAAAGACTAGAGATTACATGCCAACATTTTGAATTTTCTCTTGCTGTACCACCCCTCTGCAGTTCATCGCAAGGAATATTCGAGACATGCTGGGAGTAGAGGACCCTTACTGGAATCGGAGTATTTCATTACCTCATAGAGAACTGAAGGGCATGTACCTGGAACGCAAGAGCATATCAGGCATGAAGGCGGATAGCCTTACACTCTCAAAGTACCAAAAAGAACTTCGTAGAATTGAGATTGAAAAAGAGCTCAAAAATCTCAAAGGTCTAAAGTGAACTCAAAAATGTTTATGATGAACACTGGTCAGGTCTTGCTGATCATAGAACTTGATACCAGAATAGGAAAGAACTGTTACAAACAAAACTAATCAACAGTGGACATTGGAATTGGATGCTCAATTCAATTATCTGTTATTTATTGTTTAATTCTGAATTAAGCATTCTTTAACAACCAAATGAAACGTCACAAGAAGATACTTGATACTCGATGTCACAGCAATATTTAGTTGTGCTAGGCAAAAATGTTGATTGGTTAATTAGGTAAATTAGCAAAAAACAAAAGTTAAGATCAGAAGTACCTTTAAGAGAAGTTTGGAAATAAAACTTTGATGATGAATGATAGTAGGGATGTTCTTAGAAAAGAAAGTGCATCATTATTGAGTAAATTCAAGGTTTTAGCCCCAAAATCAAAACACTTATGATCATAGCATCGTGCCAAGATTTGTAGGGAAAATAAGAGAGAGAAGGAGAAAGACACAAATATTTGATTTTTCCCCCTGTATCATCGATTTCCAGCATTCTCCTTGTTGCATCTATTATATATTATTTTACTTTTTATTAAGCAGAAATATTTCTTCTTCAAATATTGTACAAAAGCTAAAGTGTTTGAAAATATGAATCTATGAATCCATGTTATCATTATTTCCTTTTACAAATGTATTTTTGCCCATGTAATATTAGAATGCAAATTCTTTCCATAGTAGTATTCAACAAAATGCTTGTGCTTCCTAATAATATGCAACTAGACCTTTTTACAATTTCTATGGTTCTAAAGTAACATGCGTGTAAAAGTATTGTTCTTATTTTAAGTCTATTGGAAAGATGTTTTTTTTAATTTTTTAACAAAAGCATCTGATAGACCCTTCTATAAACTTATCTCCTTGTGTTTGAATCAACTTAGTGATTGTGTGCATGTTTTGTGATTGACAAGTTCACACATAGATTTTCTAATTAAAAATAAAGTAAACAAGTAACGAACATTGAAATCAAATCAAGTCTTTCCGTTCATTCTAATCAGCTGAGAAATGAAATTAACAGATCAAGTTGAGATGAAAAAAACAAAAATTGCTTTCAAACCTGTGTAAATTCAGTTATCCCCAAGGGCTTATGAATGTGATAGAACTAAGAACTTCATACTTAAAGTGTTAAACTTCCCCTTTAAGTATGTAAGGTGACTGGAAATATCAGTATGAGGACTTCCATGGATGATTTCTGGTTTCTTGCAACATACATGTATGTAGCACATTTGCAGTAGAATAAACATGCCAGGTAACAACTATGAATGTTCTATACATTTTAAGAATTGAATGATCAAGAATTTACCCCCACCTTTATGCAAGAGTTAGAACATGCTTGAACAAAAACATTATCTTTTTCATTTCTTTTCCATGAATATGTAACTATGTATTATACTTTTTGTAAATGTGCTATTGTTTGTACTAAAGTCATTAATAAGAAAAATTAAAGAAAAAAATACATATAAGAAGTAAAGAACATGTTGTTTTGTTTTTATCATATGAATTATTAAAAGTTTAGAATTGACAAACATTCAGCATATTGTTTGTTGAGAGCCAGAAGGGGTGAACTCTGTGTATAAATGGAGGTGTTAACACCCTTCTGGCTCTCAGAGAATGTTTGTTTAATGAAGAAAATTAGTATCAGTTCCTGGGCAGAAATATTGTCCTTATACCGTTATCAGTGGTTACGGGGGACGGGTTTGTATGCCCCCCTCCCCCAAAAGGAGGTGTTATGATTATTATTTATTGTTGTTGTTGTTGTTAGTAGTAGTAGTATAGTGATCATTATGATGATTATTATCATTAAGAAAAAGAAAGACAAATACAGGGTGAGTGATAGGGGGAGATAAAGAGAGGAGTGTGAGGAGGAGAGAGAGAGAGACAAAGAGAAGGAAAGAAAAGAAAGGAAAGAAAAGAAAGGCAAGTAGGACACACCTATACGCCTGATCGTAGTGCGAGGCTGTGTGGCGACCAAGCTTAAAAAGCGGAAATTTGTATTTCCTTAGAATTCTGTTTTTAAAAAAATAAGTAAAGGGTATATTTTCATTTATGAAATATTATAATATATTACTATACGGCCATGCATTGTGGCTCAAGGCATGGCCACACAGAGGAATTTTTCCTGTTGGGGACCGGTGGAAAATGCAATGAATTATTGATAATTTATTGCATTTTCTTTGTTATTATTTTTATTTGTGGGGGCTGCCCCCTACCCTACAGTCCGATGATTCAGTGGTAAAGCAATTGACTAGTAACTGAGAGGCCCCAGGATCAAATCCGTGTCGATGTGCCCTTTTGTGAGGCATTTAATCCTCACTACTGTCAGTTATGAATTAAGGACGTAGGTCCCGTAGTTAATAAACATCGTAGCATACACGTACTTTAGCAGCCACGCAAAACAAACACTCGCCAATTTTTATTCCATGAAATATGATAATGTATGCTATTATATAGCTCTATTAGGAATAAATCATTGTCAAAATCATTCCATAAATTGGGGTAAAAAAAATTATTCAACCTTTAGGTTTTAGATTTTCTAATTAAAGGATTTCAAGAACTTGAGTCGATTTTGGAGGGGTTTCATAACAATATTGTTTAACAATCATTGGGCATTTTTTTAAATGAAGTAAGGAGTTTGTTCCTGATGAAAATTTGTCGAGATGCGGCATTGGAAAAAACTGTTATGGTTCACAAGAAAAGAAAAGAAACCTGCCGTTGTGATGTCATTTTTTTTTTTTAGACAATTCATAATAGAGCGCGTTTGTAATCGCTATTTGACTATTCCCTTTCTCTCTCTATAATCTCTCTCTCCGTTTTATTCTTTCTCAATTTCCTGTCTTTATTCTTTTTTTCTACTTTCACCATTCAATGGGGCAGGCAGAGGCGGCGCTTTCGGGGCGCTCCTTTTATTTTTTTAATATTTTTTTTGCATATGAGATTTTATTTTAGGCAGAACGGCGCACCAAAAACCTAAAGACCTTTTATTTATTTCTTATTTTATTATTTTTTTTAAATTTTTGTTCTTTCTTGTCACATAATTTTCGGACTTGAACATATTTCCCACTATCGCTTACAAAATGGGCCCTTGTATAATTATGTATCAAGTCATCTAAAGGGCATAGCTTCAAAGAATCTCAGGAGCCTCTTTTCCACAATGAAAGACAGTGGTTATAATGCCCAAAATTCCATTAGAACAAAGTGTCCCCTTTTAGAAATAATTATTATATAATTATGCTCCTTTTCAACACTATCAATATTATTGCCCCTTCTCTATAAAAACCTGTGCTCCAAGCTATAAACTACCTCAGCTGCTAAAAGAGGCATATTCCAACACTCTGAAAACTAAAATGTTAAATCTGCATTTAAAAGGGCCGAAGAGTTGCCACTTTAAAAAAGATGGTAGATTTAACACTTTAAAGGTTGCATCTATAGCATGTGCGTCAAAAGTATGGTGACATTTTGAAAAAGGGGTCACTCCTCGGCCCTTTGAATCATTGATTTATCATTTCAGTTTATTTCTATAGTGAACCTATCAATTTTTTTTACTTAAAGGTACTATGTCCTATTTGCAGGCCAAACAAATTAAAAGGTTAAATTCCAACGGAATTTAAAAGATAATACTGATTTAGAACTTCCCTCAAAACGAAAGGGCTTGCAAATGTCATTAAGTGGGAAAATAACGACCAAGTTAGTTGTCGAATTGACCTAAGTGATTGCAATCACCTAAGTAATATCCTGATTTTTGCTGCACAAAGATTCAATCAGTTTAATTTTGGCCATTACAAGTAGTGAGTTATTGATGTACCTGTTACATCTCATTTTATTTATGTTATGACCGACCAAAGAAAAAAAATGTCAGTCAGTCCAGGGGCGGATCCAGGAATTTCTTCCCGGGGGGCACACGATGGGAAAGAGAACTTATATATATATATTTTTTTAGTCCCCCCCCCAAAAAAAAAAAATCGCAACAACTCAGCCAGCGGCTAAATAAGCAGGGGGGGGGGGGGGGGTGAGAGGACATTTTTTAATTTTTTTTGGGGGGCCACGAAATTTGACATTTGACATTTTGCTCCGTTGGAGGGGGGGGGGGGGTAAGGTCACCTTTTTAGGTCAGCCATTTGCATATTTTTAAAAAAAAATTTTATTAAAAAAAAAATTGTTAATAACTTTGTTTGGGTGGGGGGGGCACGTCTCTGTTTTTCAGTACATTTTGGGCGACTTTAGGGCTGATTTTAACATATTTGGGGGGGGGGCCGGGGGGCACGTGCCTACTGTGCCCCCCCCCCCCTGGATCCGCCACTGCAGTTACTCAATAGATGTTGGTGTTTGATGTTGGCTGCAAAAGGGACAAAGTAGCTAATCTCATGCCCGTTTGAACTTCACAGAATGGTAATCTATTGCCATTTTGTTACAAATTTAGGCAATGAGGGAATTTTATAATAATAATGAAAGCAAATGCATTTACATTACCAAAATTGAATTATGTTAAAAAGAGACTCAATTCAGGAAGCTGTAATGAATGGAGATACCGTCTCGAAAGAATTTTCTGAGGGAAAATTATTCAAGATTAACCTGGCTTAACAAAAAGAAATGTAACCCTCTCCAGCCATCATTTCCATCAACAGCTGTCCATATCAATGCACAGTCCCTCTCTGGCATTCCAAATAGTACGAAATGTTACGCAACGCCATCTGTTTCCCTAAGTTCTCTATTCACTCGTTTGCAAAAATATGCAAGCATCGGGCTTTGAAGCCATGCGTGGCACCGACAAATTAAGTCATGTTCATGGAAGATGTATTTAGCTATAACATATAAAATGCAGAATTCACAACATTATGACCAATGCAACTTTCTATTAGTCATCAAATGCGTCTTCCGTTCTCGGATAGCTCTACTGAAGACATGGCCATTTTAACCAGCGAAATCGACCAAGGAAATCATGAGTTAGAGCGAATGAAAGATTTTCATAATCATGATTTTCTCATCTAATTATTGACATTTTCCGAAAATTTCCGAAATTTGTACATAGCTAGGAAGGTAGTCCAAAGGTTTATCTTCCTAAAGAACTAAATGAAATTGTGTTGTATGTTTGCGCATTTATTGATTTAGGGCTAGAAGTTGTCAAGTTAGCACCACTATTCACCCAAAGTACGGGCCGGCAAAGCAAAAGCCGCCGTGCTCGCTGGGCTGGGCTGTGTGTGGAAAGGGAGGACTTAGTGCTACTAGGGAGCTGTAAGGTTTTGGAGGGGGATTAAGGGGATTACGGTAGGGGAAACAAAAGACGCGCGGTGCCACGGATGACTTCAAAGGGGCCTCTTGGACGGGATCTCCATTCATTACAGCTTCCTGCTCAATTACAATATTTGCTAACTTGTTATACGGTGCGGGTTTGCTATACACCCTCCTCTCCCCTGAAACTGTACCTCACAATTTTTTTAATTTTTGCTCCCTCACTAACGAATGAATCACACAGATGCTGAAACCAGGGAGAGTGTTCTCCCCTGCTGAAACAGTAAAAAAAAAACATTAAACACATTAAAAAAAATATTAAAAATCTTGACTATGATCCTTGATAATTTATTACAACGTAAGGGCAATGTCTCAAAGTTGTATGTTTTACGTTTGAATGTTACCCTTTGTAGGTGCCCCCTTTTTTCTCTCCAAAGATTGCCCCTGCCCTTTTGTTGGTCCCCCCCCCCCCTCACTTTGATAGACGTGCCACCGCCCCTGCTTTGCTTTTATATCATTAGTTGGGGGTGGGGCTTGTGCGGCTAGATGTCAAAAAATATTCATACACAAAGTACACGGTACGTATACCGAGCTACGTGGCGGTGATCAACATGTCTGACTTTCGTGTTTCTCCCGACGGCCTAACGCCGCTACTCGTCGACGATTCTCAGTCTGTTACAGACACGTCTGTTAATCTTGAAGATATTCCCAATATTGTAAGGAAGAGTGGATTCGTGCTAAATGATTTATACAAATTATGTCTCACCTTCTATAAAGGTAAGCTGATTTCGTTAGATATTAAATTTGGTCTCGATTTTTTGGTTCAGTCCCATCTGTACTAATTTACGTATGTTGAAGGGGGAAGTCCACCCTGCAACTGCACTTGCACTTCTGAAGGCCTGATGGTATTAAATTGGTTGTGATTGTAGTCCTAATACAGTACTAGAAGCAGGATAATAAGAGAAAAGGGTCAGTGAAGTTTCAGAAGCTTCAGAAGAAAGCTATGCAATTATGTGTTGCATTATTTATAATTATCCTGATTAAATCAAACAAAATCATGAAAATGAATTATGATTCACAATGTCACTTGTGTCATTGTTTGTGTGACAATAATTTGACATGACTTATCTCTTGGGGACCGGGTGCGGGCCAAGGTCCTCTCCAAGTTGACCTGACACATGGTCTGACTTGGCATGTAGAACTTTACGCATTGTCATTGAGCGCTGTACAGTTAGAAAACGGCAAATAACCTGCTCCCATTGGCCGATCCGCTCGAGCGGTTTCAAATTTAAGTAAGAGAGGCACGCAGAACTTTAGCTTAGGCGCCACAGATTTATTCAACTGGCATTTGGAATGCCGTCAGAATGCCCTCGTTTTACTTTCTGGAATGCCCTCGTTTTACTTTCTGGAAGCGTTCCGGAATGCCCCATTCTAGAAGCATTCTCAAAAAATTGATGCGATCAGCGCCTATTGTCTAGAGATCAATGGGGCATTCCAGGATAAAGGTCATTCTGGAATGGTCTCGGAACAGGGTGTTTAAAAAAACTTGCCCGAGACTGCTGGCCATTCATCAGATATGCGTGGTTTCGAATGCCGTCATAAGGTCTGATATCGCAGCGCATTTTTAAAAAGAGTAAGAGCTATTTTTATTTCTCTTTTTAAACAAGGTATAACTTTCGTTCTCTCAACTTCTGATCTTCCGAAGTTGATAACAGCGGAAACATATTGTCGCCTTCTTAAAGAAAAGAAAAAAATCTTGGAATAACGTTTCCATTTTTAAGAAAAAAGTTGTGGTCGCTTTATTTCTTTAATAACCGGAAAATGGAATTTTGATGCTATGAGCGGGTTACAATACTAGTATTTTACTGCTCAAATTTTCAAATTTCTGCAGCATAATGTTGGAAGTATCATTTTTATCTTCCCTAAAATACAATAGGGGTTGTTTTATGATATCTGAGATTCTGAACCTATGCAGAGATGTCGGCATTGCTCTCTCTCCCATTTTGATAAAATGATTTTTTTTCAAATATCTGCCGATATAATGTTGGAATATGAATAAGTATCATTTATATATTTGGTAAAATACAATAGGTGCTGTTTTTTGTGATACCGGCACCAATGCAAGTTTTTCGATGCCGCTCTCTCCCATTTTTATAATAATACATTTTGGCCTGAATTTTTTTCACAAAGGAGGTTTAAATTTAGCACATGGTTTAAATTCTCTTTTACATAAACCAATGGTCTAAAATTAGGTGCGCTTTTCCGAGTTAAAAAGGAGTACCTCTAAAAAAGGGAAGCGGCACTTCTTAAAAAGTAAAATGAGCACCTCTCAGATTTTAATTGGGCAATTATCAGAGATGAAGGGGGCACTTCTCGTTCCAGAAAAGGGGTACTAACTAGAGGTAAAAAAAGGGCACTTATGAGAAAGGGAAATTTTTTATGGAAACTTATTGCAAATGAAAATACGAACTTGTCGAAAAGGGGCATGTGATAAAATAAAAGGCTAACAACAGATCTCCGCCACTGTGTGCACATGCGTTTAGGGTTGAATAAATTATGAGTTTCATCTTAAAGATACTTCTGGGAAATGGAAAATAACTGCGTTTTTGTCGGCCAGCTGACGTATCATGGTGCGCTCGTCATGCTCGCCCTGCACTCTGCTCATGCATGTTGGTCCCTGTACTCGATTTTAACTCACGTCAATCTCGTGGGCATCTCGGCATGACTCGGCATGACTTGCAGCACGATCGTCGTGCTCGTACTCCACTCTTGGAAACTTGAATAGCACTTGTGTATACTTTAAGGTGACGAGTTGCTACGAGTTATGAAGAGTGCAGTGCAAGCTTGTAACGAGTAATGCGAGTATATTGCGAGTGTAATGTGTTCACCTCAAGTTAAAAGGAGTCGGTGAAAATTTGGAACTGCTCGACATGGATAGCTGTAACAAGTTATGCCGAGCCATGCCGAGTTGTCGCAAATTATCCTGAGTAACCAGAATAGCTTTTTGCAAGTTATTGCGATCGCTCTTTCAAGCAACTCGTCCCAACAAAAGAGAGCACATATTTCATATGCTTGTTGTTGGCTTGCTGCAGGTTTGAACCTACTGTAAAGACAAGTTCTTAGCTGTAACTCCAGCTGAACTTGATTTTTATACCCTAAAAGCTGTTATTTTTGTGTGATTATCTTTTTCACGCTGAGTGACCCCAAAACATATTCGCAGGTTCTTAAATTCGCGTCGCACGCAATTCAGCCCGTTCAAAACACTCATAAAAAGCCATGCTTATATTTTCGCGAGTTCTAAAATTTGCCCTCGTTGATCTTAGCGCGAAATCCATGAAAATTAATGTACCGGTACTGCAAATATTTCTACTTTTAAGGTACTTTGAGTTAAATTTATTAATTTTTTTTTTGTTCATGTGCATACAATAAATTTGTTAGTTTCAAGCTACTTTTAATGATTTAATCTGTGTTATGTTGAACTAATGATTTTCAAATAGAGGTTACCATACTGTATGTTGATTTTGTTGAACTCAATTCAGATATGAATAAATCCCTAGGGAGTCAATCCAAGACCCTGCCTATAAATATAGGTTAGTTCGAGTAGGATTAAAAACAAGAACTCAAGCATTGTCAAAGCTAAAATTTAACACTTCAAGACATCTAAAAGCATGACAATTTCAAATTTTAGAAAAATTGGAAAATAATTAAATAAATTTGCCATAGCAAGCCATAAATATCTTTAGAAATCGAGATGTAAATACACTACCGGTATATAATTACAAAAAGAATCTTATATCTGTCTCAAGGTTAAAAAAGTACTAAACTATTATTCTGGAATCTTTATTCAGTTTATGCCTATAATTTGTACAGTAATTTTGTGGAAAAAAATAGGCATGTACCTCCCACTAATTGCAACATAAAAAAATTCAACTGTTAAAGAATATGCATTTAAAGGACAATCAAACCTTTGTAAATAAGTTCATTTGTATGAAAGTAGAAAAATAAAATAAAGCAGAAAACAAATGTTTAAAAGAAATCAGACCAATAATAAGGACAGTCATGAATGTTTGAAATATGAGATCACTAAGCCGCCAAGCCCATGTGAATCTCAAATTGAAAGTTTGGGCAGTGGATTGTGATGTAGTCGCAGAGAACGCTCCCTTCTGTCGTGTACATAAATAAATAAATACATAAATTAAATTCTGTCTTTCTCCTAAGCATAGAAGAAAGAGAGATACAGAGTGATTTAGTGATGGAGGGAGATAAAGAGAGCGAGAGAGAAAAAGATAGGGAAAGAAAGTCAAAGAGAAAGAAAGGGAGAGAGCAAGTGGGGCAGACTTAGTAGTGTTACATCAGATTTGTAGTATTAGGATTCTCTGGCAAAAAAAAAGAACATGATAAAAGTAAATACCGGTAAAAGAAAAATAACTTTTCGTATCCACCAGTGATGATAGGCGCTCGGGCTCATCCCCTCACGATTGTCCGTCTCCATAACGCGATTAGTATACTTGCCAGAAAGCCTGACGCATATTGGATAGGCTAGGACCATGCCGGAACAGATTCAGATTCAGATTCAGAAGAAGTGTCTCCCTCTGCCACTGATTTATACAAATAACATAATCCATGGTTAGATTTATTCCGGACTCAGATCTTAGCCCCCCCCCCCCCCACCCCCTACAGACTCATATTGAATAAAGTGCCGTGTTTATCAAAGGCTACCTTTTAAAGGGATTGGGTATCTTTGCCTCAGATTCTGAACAAAATCATGGATTTAGCTCATGCTGTAATCATAATTATAAACTTTTAGGTCAGTCTGGAATCCCATGACTTACAAGTCGATTGCCTGTCTGATTATCAAGATATTTATAATTGGAATTATATTATTATTATTCCCAACGGCTTTTCATAAAAATACAGTCTATTAGGGAAAATGAGTACTGGTATGGACAAAAACAGTCACTCAAAGATTTTTACTTTTTTGAAGCACTTCATGATCATTTTGAAGCGCAAATTTTTCAGGGCTTCAATATTATCTCATATCACAGACACTAATAACACATTGGGCCATGCGTCTCAGATTTGTAAAACTGAAAAAATTGTTAAACAATGCCTTTAAAAGAAAAGGAAAACATACCATTTAAAGCAGAAGTTTATGAAAAAATATATTTTTGGCTTGGTCAACACACAGCTTCGTACTACAATCTGATGTATTTTGACTACTAAGTCTGCCCAACTTGCCTTTCTTTCGCTCTTTCTCTCTTTCTGTCTATCTGTCTCTCTCTGTCTCTCTCTCTGTCTCTCACCCTCTCACTGACTTTCTAGTTTTATATCAGTCCTCTATTTTTATCTCCGTCTTTTACTCGACCCTTTCCTCTCTTTCTTCTATGCTAATAAACCCAATTTACTTGTTACACATCGAGCTATACATCCTACTGTACCTTGAAAATAAAGATCAAGGCTAATTTTCAACATAGCGGATTAGACAAGCCAACTAAATTACAATTGTTTGCTAGCCTAACAAAGCAACATGCACCATGGTCTAACTTACACAATCTATATCGTCGACTCTGAGCAATCACTTATAGGACGCCCTCTGATGAAAGCAAATATAGCCTTGATTTTTATTTTTCAACATTGTCCAGTGCCCACCAATTGGATTCCTGAGAACTTTTCATGTGTTATTTATTGCATTTGTATGTACTTTAATCATGGACCTACCTGTACTACAATTATAAACAGTTGAATATTTTTTGTTGCAATTACTGGGAGGTCATTTCGTAAAATGACTGTACTACATGCAGGTGCACTTATGACATAAATATCTCTCTCTTCTATCATTCACCCATTAAGTGAGAATGACTGGTTGATATCAGATGTAATTTGCACCAGCAACAAGTATTAACAATAGTTAGCATTACTGCACTCACAGTATTGGGTGAATCGAGTACATTTCCCTTAGGGTCAAGTCCCTCATGAATTGCTCATCAATATCCAACCTCTAGATTAAATGGAATGTCCCTGTACGGTTGGCTGCTATAAAGGAGAGCGCATATCCAGCCACAGAAATTGCCTGTTCTCCCTATAACTTCATTAACATTTCCGCCTGTCTACTGCGACACATGACCCCACAGCTCTCTCCATCATCTGGCTTTTGAAGTCGGTCGGGAGATTCTATTTCTGCATCTAGCTACCGCAGTGTGCCTGCTCGAAGGCTTTTGTGATATTTGCTTAGCACATAGCATTTGATGCAGATGGACCACTATCTGTGATTCTCCAATGCACCTTTTCTTTCCTGTGACAATGAAAATCAACGGTGACGTTTAAAAGGTAGACTGGTGTTCTAATGAGATGTGATGATTTGATTTGGAGTTACTGTTTGTGCAGTGTAGTACATGTCTGTCATCAAGGGTGAAGCCATTGGAAGATGACCAGAGATGAGCTGAACATGTCTGTTATGTAATTGACTATGCTGATTGTTTGTTCATCTCCTCTTCATGATCCTAATTGCTTACAGTGCAGGGTTCTACATGATTGCAGCTGTTTGCTTTGTCTAATGATCATCGAAGCTTGCAAAATTTGGCTTGGATCATCTCTTTGTTAAAAAGTTATATACCGTTTTTACGGATTTTGTCTATTTTCCTTTACCAGATTATCAAAAAAACATTAGATTATGATAGAAGGTGAACCTATTCTTTAAGATGATTTTAAAATCTTACTTACATGTACAAATTCATATTTTACAGCAACAATTACATGTACATTGTATACATGTACTATGCATTTTCTATAAAGAAAGTAAACTAATACTATCACATATGAATACAGTTTGCAAAAATCTTCTATGAAATATTCAGGTATTTAGTTCTACATTTTTATTTATTTATTTTGCTGAATCTACACATAGACAGAATATATACATCATTCGTTTAGATTACCGGTATGTCACTCATTAGAATCAATTTTGATGGTGATTACAACTATAGCATTGTTTTTTCATTGATGCACGACTTTACAATGTAATGTGTACAACAACATAAAATAGCCAAACACATTGTTATTGCTGGTACGCTAGTTTTGTACTGCTAACATTTAATTTAAAAGGGGTCACATATAAACAGATATATTTGTACCTTCTTAGATAAAGTTTGTAGAAGATAACTTAAGAAACATCATGTTTGGTTTGTATTATCAAATAATCTACCGTTAGCTAATTGTTTTTGAATAAGGCAATTATAGGATAATAATAGCGGTTCCTTGCATAGTGCTCTTGTCTGTCAAACTTGACACTCCTGACGCTCCACTATTATTACCCTGGTTTTAGCATGGCTGCCATTATGGCGCTCCAGCATTTCAAGGAATTAATTCTTACTGGATAGTGGGGTACAAATTTACCTCACATACCTGTAGGTCGAGTGTGGCAAATGTAGATAATGTCTTGCCAAAGGACATTAGTGCCGCGGCGGGTCTAGAACCAAGTGATCCACAGTCCGGTGACTAATTATTGACCACGACACCTCTACACGATAGTCCTGTAGTCTTTCTATTACAAAGCCTATGTAGTGTTTGCTACATGTAACACCTCCAATTATATTTTATTGCTGAAATATTCATTTTTGTACTTTCTCTTTGGAAATATTTTGAGTAATACTGGTAGTCTGGTACAGCGTTTATGTACATGTAGCTTATTGTCTGTTTATACATAGCAAATGCTGTATAGCATGGATGATTTCATACATGTAGAACTTCGTAACATAGTAATACTCTCTGTTCGTTGACAAGTTACATGTAGTTCACGTTTACAAAATTACATACCGGTAAACATTGAAATGAGGAAATACAGGATATCAATGATCCAAATAGTAATGTCCTGTCTGTGTTTGTATTTCGGCAAGAAAGTAGACAGGAGTTTTAGTTGTGAGTGAGCTCTAGAAACTGAAAAAATAAATTGAAAAGAACATGAACTACACTGTACATGTATCATGTTTCTGTTGTACAGGGATATTTGATGGTAGTACTTACTATGTACATGATGCATATTTTATTGCAATCGGAGCCTTCAACATCTTGCATAAAGTTGATTTAACGCAACTCCAAAAATGAATTATAACTCAATGATATGTACATGTGCATGATACATGTAGGAGGCAACACAGGCAATCATACACTGTACATGTATTTAGATGTACCATACACAAGCCTATGTTTTCAAACTCACTTGTTATTCATTGATTTCACTGATCGAGAGTTGTTTTCTTCATGTATGTATTGTTATTATAAAAGGCAAAGAGTAAATTAAACATTTCTTGATTAGTGTTCGTAACTGGGCAATGCCAGATGGTGTCGATCTGGTCATTATGGTTTGTTGTTCATGTACATTTCATTCTTTCTGATCAAACTTAATAGACCAACTAGCACCTGTGCACCTACAATGTTATTCAAGCGAGATGTAATGACTCTGTTGTCAGTACGGTATTCTGATGTATTACTCAATAACATATATGGAACAAAAATATCTTTGACTTACCGTTAGCCTACTGAAATAATGCAGAAATATATCAATTTTTTTACTATTTCCATAATTTGTTCAGGTTTGCTGTGAACATATGTGTTATTGAGCCATGTTTGAAAATTAAAAACGGAGAAGTGTATCAGCCAGTCTCGAGACAGTCTCATGAAACTTGAGCTTATGTACATGCATGTACAGGTACATGTACATATTTATCTTAGTATCTATAGACAATCATTTATAGTTGTGTTGATAATACTATTTCGAGAATTTAACACCAATTAATTTCTTCAATGTAACCAAATTCAGTTCTTTGTGAAGTGCCTCGATTCCAATCAACAAATTATTTAAGTGACCTGTTATGAATAACTGTATCTCAATAGTCAAAATGCAAATTCCATACATTAGAGCTCTGTTGCAAGGTACATGTAGGACAAACATTATGGCTTGCCCTATACTTCTTACATATATATATATATATATATATATAATATATGCAATTTGCATTCTGACTATTGAAATACAATTATTTGTAACAGGTGAATGAAATAATTTGTATGAGGCACTTCACAAACAGGTATAGCAAGTTGGAGAGAAAAAAATTATTGATAATTTTTTGAACTCTTTTTTTAATTTTTTTTTATCTCAACAGAATTTGAAGGGAAGGCAATCCACCTCACATACAAAGATAAATTGAAGCTAGTTGCATTTACCAAGCAGGTTACCATCGGAAAATTAGATCAATCAAAGTTACCTCCCCCTGGATATCTAGATGTTGTTGGCAATGATAGGAGGTAATGTATTTAATGTAATAATTTAATGTGTTTACCACATTTGTTGCTTTTCATGTAGTCTGTAGCTTCATGTATCGTGTTGAAATTACATTTTCTCTCAATATTTGTACTTTTCAGTAAAATCAAATCGGCTTCTTTCTAAACAACATATTTCATAGCACAATGCAAAGGTATAATATGCAAAATAGATACTTTACATGTAACATAATTAATATTGGTTAATCTGAGAACATAAATATTTACAGTTTTCTTAGACTATTTCCAGAAAATTTCTTATATCTCGTCTGTAGTTGAGGGAGTATTTGTAGTAATTATTTGAAATAGAATAAGAAATTGGTTGTTTTTATTCCCGTCTCAATTACTGTGACCATTCGTACCATCTTTTATTACCATATTCATCATCTCACCCATCATTACTGTTTAAATACTATGATGCTGACTATCAATCAAATCAGTATCTTCTCTATCAACATCAACATCATCATGATCATTAACATTATTACCATCATAGTAATTATCACCTTCCTCATCATTATTTCCATTGCTTATTATCATTTCATCCTTCTCTACATAACATGTTGCTCATCACATCATAGTTTCCAATCATGTGCTCGCATCCATTGATCCCTGTTGATCTCCCAGAGTCTGAAACGACGTTTAGAACAGGAGAGTAGATAGCCAGGGTGCTTATGCAAACATCCAACGTAGACTTAATGAAAATGTGATAGGCCTGTGGCACGTTGAATTAATATAAAGCAAGTGATCACTTTACAGTCTTAGAAATGAAAAAAAAGTATGGGGGTTTAAGATGTTGGATGAAGCCAGCCCTCCATTATCCTTCTTTACACATGGTATTTACAAATGTCAAGCATTAAAGATAAAGTTGAGTTCTGGTCATGCAATTGCATTGGGAAAGGAACAGTGTGGAATCGATCAGAAAAAGTTTAGCATTTAAAGTATTGGTGTGTACTGCAAGGTTCTGGAATCATCAAAATGATAAGAAATTTGGCCCAGTCTTGGTAAAAAGTAACAAGCAGTGTACACAGAAAGATGTAATAGGACTACATAAACATGGATCCGGGCTAACTCGGACCCGAGACAACTCGGCCCAGCTGCAAAAACGGTCAGTCTGTTGTCATGTTACCCTAGCCCTAACCCCAACTCTAACCCTAACCCTTACCCTAACCCTAAACCTTACCCTAAACGTGCAAAAACTAACCATTTTTGCAGCGGGGTCCGAGTCCCCGGGTCCAAGTTAGCCCGAATCAATAAAAATGTGGCATAAAAAAGTCATATTTAGAATATGAAGGCATTTGAAGAACCATGCATTTCAGGGAACATTTTTTTTTCTGATATTCTTCCACACTTGCATAATAACAATGAAAATGCTTGCAAACTATTTTTCACCTCTCCCTATAACTCAACCTTCTCTTTAAAGATGAATTTATCGATCTATATATATCTCTGTTTGCAAGCTTAGAAAATCCATTTGCAGTGAAGTATTGAATGTCTGTTTGACATATCATTAAATATTTCTGTTCAGGTAGAGGTTTTTCTTGCATCAAGAAGCATTTCTAGAATGATTGACATCATTTGTCAAATGTAGGTTTTATTTTTTTCATTAATTGTTATAAACATTTTAATTTTGATCTGAAAGGCAAGAAGACTGTGTCTTTTACATTAATAATTCAAGTATTTATGTATTACACCAAATAAAAGTGAAATACTTCTATACATGAATTTATATTTAAACACTGTCTTACTGATTTATGATATTGCTGTCCATCAAAATATTATACTTGTCAATATTTGATTCATGAACACTTTACTCAGGCTTTGATAAGAAACCATGATACATAATTCAGTAAAATATAGTCTGCATTGAATATATATGGCTACGTGATTTTGAAAATTATGCTACTTCGTTAGAAAAGAAGTCTTAGATTGAGTTGAGCTGGGATTGAATGCAGACTTTAACAATCCCATCAAAAGGTCATTCCTGATATTTAATTGTTAGATCTATCTTCATTTTTTATTCCAGACTTTCTATTGAAAGGTTGTCATCCAAGCTCTGATAAAGCTCAGATGCAGCCACTATAGAAGAAAAAAATTGTGTAGAGTTGTTTACTATATATATAGCAGTTTCTTGGTGTAGATTGATGATAGGGGGAAAGAATTTTGCTTACCTATGGAATTGCATTACTTCACCTGTCAACATGAAATCATATATCCTGAGTAAATCACACCCTCAGGGAAAGATTTTAAAGGGCGATTCCAAACCTTGTAATAAGCTCATTTGTATGAAAGCAGAAAAATAAGAGAAACAGAATTGCAACAGATTGAAATAAATCAGACCAATAATAAGAAAGTTATTATTGTTTAAAATATGAGATCATTAAATCCAAGCAAATCTCAAATTGGCAGTTTGGTCCGTGGCTTTTGGCGTATTTGCTGAGAACTCTCCTGTTCGTCCTGTACAAAATTGTTATTAATTTCTGTTTTTCTCCTAAGTGATTTTTCCCTTAGGGCACATTAAAAATATATAATAGATAGCATATAAGTATAGGTCCTCTAAAAGAGAAAAGACCCTCCTGAGCCATACATTTTTGAAAAATTGAAATGTTATTCATTCTGTGTGTTGAAACAAATGGGAAAGTTGTTCGCCACTACATCACATATTATCAGATATTACAGATTCAGCCAATTTGAGTCCATACCTATAGCGATTACAAAGTTTTTCAAAATTTTACCAGTCTAGTCCTCTTATTTTGCTGCTTTCCTCTAGAGTAGTTTGGTATCAAGATTGGATTTCCCTTTAATTTAATCATTTTGACTGACTGATACATAGTTTCCAGCAGCTCTCATCAACTAATGTATCTAATCTTCCATTACATCTCAGTCCACTCCCTGCAGCACATTCCGTTAATAGTAATAATGTACTGAATTTATATCCCACAAGTCAATGTATCTTTCCTTACTGCCACCATTTGAATTATGTCTTTTTTAATTAAAATCTTTACTGATAGTCTCTCTGTGCTGATGTTTATAATAAAAAATTTTCTGTATTTAGAGCAATATTGTACAGTATTGTTAATTAATCAGTGAAATCACCTGATGATATTGTAATCTTTTCCTACAGCTGTAAGTTTTTTTGAGCTAGTAGTAGAATTATTTACGAAGCAACAACAATTCACTGAATTTTGTTTATTGATTTTATTTATTAATTAATCTATTTAAATTCCAGTCAACAAAACAAAACAAAAAATGTACAGAGACAAAGGAATCAGAAAATAGAATAGAAATACCATTGGCCAGTGCTTGAGGATAGCTAGAAGGCATGTTCTCCTTACTAGTTGGGGGTTTACAGACATATATGCAAACATTTACAAACTGAAGTGATAGAGCCATTTCATGAGTAAAATTTAAGAACAAGATAAATCTGTTTAGGACTTTATTTATGTTGTTTTCTCTCCCCCCCCCCCCCCCCCCCCCATGTAGAAAAGAATGGCAAGCTTTAGGGGATCTCAGTAAGGAGGATTGTATGCTACAGTTCTGTGAGCTGCTTGAGAGTCGATGCCCACAGCTACAGCCTTATATAGAAGCTCATCGGAGAGAAAAAGAAGAGCAAGAGAGAAAAAGGTAAATACTAGAATGATAAAACAGTGATGCAGTGGGCGGATGATGGGAGGGTATATTGGAAGAGATGTTCTTTCAATGTCGCTGCAGGAAAAGAAAATGCACTCACAAAAAAAAAAAAAAAAGTGGAGACTATAGTGTACCATAAATCTCTGTGTATAAGACACACTTTTTCCAGTCAATTTTTTTTCTCGAAAGTCAGGGTGCGTCTTATACACGGGTACAAAAAAAAAATTCCCCTCCCCCCCCCCAAAAAAGGTTGCGTCTTATACACAGAAATTTACGGTGTTTAAGATTATAAGTTATAAGTTATTTTTTTATATAAAAATAAACATAAATTAATCCTTCTTTGACATAATATGTAATTGGAATCTTACCATTTATGAATGAGACAGCTTAGCCATTTAACAATAAATGAGTGTCTGAAAGAAAAATTGCAAAAATGGGGCATTTGGCTTAGTCAAATGTTGATGAAAATGGAGGTATACTATGGCTCGTCCACCATCTTAGGTGGAAAGGAGAAGCATCTTGACCACGCTTGTCAAAACCATGCAGTCCTGAGACTACAGTTGACATTCACAGCTCAGTCCCCATTCTTTCTCATTTTTTTGTTTTCATTGTTGAACATGAAAGTCTTGCAGATGCACATTTGAATGGCTTCTTGCTTCATTTTTCCAATTTTCTTAATCAGACCTAACAGTTAAATGAATGTGTCCATCCAAACGTGAAGGTATGAAATTGATCCTAATTGATGTTGGTAGAGTATCAATTTTTCTTTAATCTAATATATATTTTATTATATATTATTGACATTTTAAATGGAAATTTTGAACAATAAAGATTGTCCACTTTTCTCTTTTTTTTTTAGCTGAGTGTGCATTTTCTTTTTCTCAGTTGGAAATTGAATGAGAACTTCAATTTGCCAATTCTTTCCCATCAGTACTGTAAGTAGGAGGCCAGCAGGGAAAAGGAAAGAATCTGGAATCTCAAGAATCAAATTATAGAAAGTTGTCCATGGGTGTGCCTTAGAATCAGGACATGATTGTCTCCGTTATCAGATTAAAAGTCTCATCACATATTACCTTCACTTCTTTAGATTCAGGTAGAATTTTGCATTGAAAGAACATTTTCGGGGGATCCTATATTTTGAAGTGCAGTACTGAGGAGCTGTGAGTGCTGAGAGTACTTAGGGCAAGGTACAATTCTTACGACTTGGTAGAAATATACGGTAGAGGGTCTTGCCAATGAAAAGTCAGTTGCAAAGAATGGGTACCCAATTCATGTGTGTATTTGATACAAACAGACTTTCGTACTCTCACTCAAGACATACATGTATAAGTTCCTAATTCAGGACTCTTTTATTAATCTTTAAGAAAATAATGAAATGTATATTGATTAGGCTGAATTGCTACAGGTCATTGACATTTTATTTGTAAAGTCTGATAACTGGAATACCCGGATTATGAACCAATGCTGTTTATTATAAGTACAATCATTAATGTATCACTATTTTCTAACATATTGTAATCAGAAGTAGTATGCGCATGTATTAAAGTCAATTTGACTTCAAATACCTCTGTAATCTTGATAAATAGTATAGTATTAATGACTGCTTTGTAACCTTCCCGAGAGCGTATAAAAACAACTATTTCTCGAATATTAAAGCAGTCATTAATACTTTTATATGCCGAAAACAAAAGAGTCAACTAATGACACCACCTTGGCCTTTCTCTAGTTTATCTGCACGGTTGTTTTTTATGAGTGTATCTTTGAGAGTAGACTAGATCTAGATTGTAGTCTAAGCAAGATATTTTTACAATTTTGGAGGTGGGCCGGCCCTGTGGGAAATATGGAGAAGAACCTGCGCTTTCATATGACACCTCCCTTATTGAGTATCACCTTCAGGATCACAGCAGATAAAGGTTTGAATCTCGAATTGAAAAAAAAAACTTGACTTTTTTTGCATGGTCGCTCAATGCACGTAGACTGCATAGAGACTGCATTGCGCGCAATCTCTATGGGAAGAATTTCAGCACACAACATCGGGTGCGCGATCAGACACCCTGACTACTAGACCCTAGATCTATTTTCGTCTACGTCTATGCTGGTACTCCATTTTCAGCAACTAAACGAACATGTTTATGGATAATTTCACGTACCATTTTTGTTCTTGCTGTCAGCGAGTCTTGCATTTGATAAGTTGAAATCTTGGGAGAGTTTCTTTAGACATTTTTGTCTTGTTTGGAATTGTCTTGTCTTGTATGAAAATACCGACCAATTCTTTGCACACGTACGGTATCCGCAATCGCTCAAACCATTTTTTAACATGTAAACCTATGGGTATTTTACCAAGACTGAACTATTTTCCCAGTAACCATGGTTACTGGGATTTTAGAACTATTTTTTTGAACTATTACATGGGTTTGGAATTTTACCGGGAATTTTACAGGAATAATTAAAGTTTATGAATGCAATTTCGACCAATCAGATGGCTGGATTTCTTAAGTGAGGTATATAAAGTAAGATATGACATAGGAAATTACTATAAATCTGTTAATAGTTTATCTATAATCAAATCCTATAGTTGATGAAATGATTTCACTTTAATTCCAAAATACATGAATTTTGGGAGTATACTTTTTTTTTCCTGCATTTAAAATTTTATCAAGTTTTTCAGCAAGCCACATGCAAACTAGATGACTGACATGAGCGCTATACAAGAACCCACTATTATTATTATTATTATTATTAACGTTAATGTTCATGTACCTGGGTGTATATTATATCTCATTTACAATCCTTCTGCACAAATTTTTCAAATTATTTTTCTAATAAGATATATTGAATTATAGTGATTGGTTTCTTGGTAATTTCCTGATTTGAAGGGTTTGTGTTGTGTGGGTGCTTCCTATGAAGACGTTGATAGTTGCTTGGGATGCGTACGATTGAATCCCCTGGTTTGAGTTTCATCTCCATCTTCCTCCAGTCATAAACCTCTCCCTTAGGGGCCCACCAAGGAGACTAGAGTGTCTGATAACACTCAAAAGGCATCAGGCTGAGGAAAAGAAAATATTTCTCCATCTCGTTTAGTGAAGTCTTGAATACCGGTATCACTAATTTCAGTAATTGAACTTGTTTGTGCAAAGACATGCATTGTAATTATGGAATACATGATGGGCCAGGAGATTACAAGGTGCAATATGATACTTGGAAAAATAAGAAAAAACAGAACGAGGTTCAATATGCATGAAATGAAAGAATATTATATGCGGTTAAACCAAAGTGTATTAAAAGAAATGTGGTTATTGCATGAAGATGAACATATGGATGATAAAAGGATGGAGCAGGTAAAATTTAATCAAATTGTAAAATGATTGTATATTTGAGTTCACAAATGAATTTAATCAAGACTGCATATTGAAAGCAAAAATGCCACAAGGAATGTCCTATATGATAATTTACTTCATCTATTTATATTCCAATTTTCATCTGCAAGTGTTTATTAATGCTGTGTGTAAATTGTTCATATTATCTTCAAATAGGATAGAAGAGGAAGAGAGAAGAAAGCGTGAGGAAGAAGAGAGAGAACAAGAAAGGTTAGAAGAAGAAAGACTGAGGAAAGAAGAAGAAGCAAGGCAAGCAGAAAGACTAAGGGAAGAACAACAAAGGTTTGTATGATCCTATCAATAAAGGGATTGGGTATCTTTGCCTCAGATTCTAAACAAAATCGAAATCGAAATTTCACAAAATGCTTTTAACATTTTTTATTACACTACAGTCTGTTAGGGAAAATGAGTATGGTAAAAACCGGTCACTCAAAGATTTTTACTTTTTTGAGGCACTTCATGATCATATTGAAGCACAATTTTTTTAGGGCTTCAATATTACGTCATATCACAGACACTGATAACACGTAGGGTCATACATCTCAGATTTGTAAAACTGCAAACATTGCTAAATGATACCTTTAAGAACATTCTTGATCATTGAATAAGAATCCGTTATGCACAAATATTCCCATATATTTATCTACTTTCTCATATTGTTATTTATCCAAAGGAAGAAATTGAATAAAAAGGAATACATTTTTTTCAGTTGCAGAAATATTTTTGAGGGAAATACACACACAGTCAGAACACAGATCATTTTCGACTGCTTTATTTTCTTTTTTTTTCTCCAGAAGAAGCATTTATTTTTCAGAGTAAAGAAATCATCTACAAAACAGAAGGTCTTCCCCAACATATTCAAGAATCCACACCTTTCAAATTATGAAGCACACATAGAAAATGGAGGATATGAAATTGAAATAATAATGATAATATTAGATATTTATATAGCGCCCATATCCACCATGCAAGGTGCTCCAGGCGCTCAAATTTTACCCCGGCTCAGCTAGGCTACCGATTTGGGCGCTCACGGCATTCAAGGAATTCTTTCCTATTGTTTTGTATATTGCTTCATGTATGTGACATTGATATGGCAGACCTGTACTGATAGATTTTACATTTTGATGATCATTCATGTCATTATTTAGTAATGAGTTCCACTGCTACCTAGCTTGTTATTTATTTATTGAGTAGCTAGCTCTCTTAATACCAGACAAAGATTTACTTCCCTATTAAATACAGAGTGCTCAGTATTGGTGAAAGTCATGAATTGGATGAAAGTCTTTGTCTTTTGTGTGGTATCTCTGCTGCCTGAGACCACGGCAGGAAATCCTGACTTGATCCTATTGACTACCTCTAAACCACTGAACAGATCTTATTTATGGATCCAGACGGACAAATGGGTTCCTTCACCATTCACAGACTGAGTGTTCCCTTTCAGATAGACGTGAATAGAAGATGAAATGTACTAACCTGTGTATTACAAGCTCAAGATTATTGGGGGAAATGGGAAGATGAGGGGGGGGGGGGGGGGGGGGGGGGGAGAGGGGCTAAGTAAAGAAAACCTCCTCATGAAATTCACAATTTCTTGAAAGCCAACATTCTGGTCCATTATAATAGGTTTCTGTTGGTGAGGTTTCATAGTTTTATATGTGTTCAATCCTCATAGGTATAATACCAAAAATAGTAATTTTTTTTTTTTTACATTCTTGCACTTGAACTAATCGCATCGCAGAATTGTGAATGAGTCCTTTTTCTTAACATCAGAATTGAATGCATTATGAAATAACATGATTTACTGTGATAGAGACATATTCAATATTGATTTTGAATTTATAAATGCCATGTATGCTCAGGCACCTTGCTTTAAGTACTGGTACTCACTGCAAAGCTGTATTCTTCCTTTAAGCATATTAATGACACTCGTCTTTTTGCTATTTTCCATTTTAATGGTACTTTGAGTCTATGTATAAGTTATGTAGCATAATGCACATGAGCAGCCAGCAGCAAATCTTGTGTACGGTATGTTTAAAAGGGCAACTGCATGCGTACTCCAGAACATAAGGGCATTGTTCAAAACAGAACTTATAGTACTAAGCCAGTGGGAGATAGAGAACTACTAAATAAACACGATGATAGGTATCCGTAATCTGTCATCCGCTAGGTATTATTATAAAAGAATAAGCCTTTGAAGAAAAGAAAAACTTACTATAAAACCAAACACTTTCTTTATGGTCCATTGATTTTGTAGGATGAAACTTTTGCATTATTTACAAACCCTGTCGGAAGAGAAAAATGAAATAGACAAATTTTATATCAATGGAAAGCTTATAATCCCTAGATTACAATAATATCAGTTATAAGCCATGTTAGCATCTGTCAGAGGAGTAACAAGTCTCTGAAAATTCAAAACCTAAAGCTTTGAAAGTTGTCGACCTAAAAACTAGCTATCGATTTGATGACATCGAATATGTGGAGTACACATATTCACAATGACTTTGGCGTTCAACATTAAGGGATAGAGCAATGTCGATCTGGCGCTGCTCAGTGGCTGCCGGGCTCACGATCAATTGGGCAAAAAGAATTTCCGTTTCGGTTTAATAAAATTTGGAGTGGAGTATTAGGCTATTATTATTATTATTATTATTATTATTATTAATTAAGCATGGCTCATCGCCTCAGCTACATGTATATAGGCGAGTCAATCGGGTCCACATGTTATGTCGTCAGGGTAACTTCAGCAAGTTTGACCCCTGTTGACCAGTAATTTGGAGGGGTGCAGAAAATTAATTTTTAATTTGTTTGTGAAACTGAGTGAAAGGGAAAGTATTTATCATTTCTATATGTTTGTATTCTACGTTCATTCAGCTTTCCATTGATATAAAGTTGTAATTTCATTGGATAGGGTCTTTAAGACTAAGAAAAGCTTGATGAATGCACTTTAGTAAATGAAAGATATGATCTGTAAGTAACAGTAAGCAGGGACTCATTTCCAAAGTAGACAGTGTGGAGTGAGGGTTGCTCTTTGAGATGAGCTCTGCCTCTGGAGAAAGGGAGTGCAAGGGGGAAGAGGGATTGAAGATCACCTGATTGTACCATGTATGATCCACATAGAAAAAACAACAACACTCAAATAAATTTCCCGGTTCATATGGGACAAACACATATACACGTACATGTAAATTTGCCTGAATAAATTTGTACATTCATAAAGTGAAATCTATTTGTGTACCGGTAGTTCGACAAGGTTTTAAAATATATATATACCCCAGAGTGTGTATTTACATTCCAGTGCCATATGCAGTAGTTCTCATTATATCCCTTGCATGTTGTAGTATCAGTACATGTGTAGTACCGAGGAGATTCATGTTGGTAGTACAGCATTTTGTTTTTCTTCAGCTGATTGTACAATGTATATTTTCCATGTCGGTTCTCAATTGTTTACAAATAGGCAATTATTGACTTGCTAGAACCTAGTAAATGCATTCAGTCTATCAGATCAATAAAGAACATATCAAACTGGTCTATGCATGATGTACATGAAGTTATGGTTAGTAAAAGCATGAGTGTTTATTGTTGAATTCTTTCTCATTTCTATAAATTAGGTTACAGTTTAAAGAGTCTGTATATCAACAGCTAGAACCCCAGCTACGTCCTTTAGCTGTAGAGCAATACCCACATAATCCACAGCAGGTAAGTTTTAATTTGAGTTATTATTTTGTCTTCTGTAGTACCGGGTATCCTTTTAACTGTCATACATGTAAGTTTCAATCTAATTTAAGGTAATTTATTTGTTTGTATTCCCTGCAGGCATTAATCAATAATTTCTGCCAGTTCCCATTAAAACCAAAGTTCAACATTTTCAGAGGAGGGCCCCTGGCAATAATGAAACTACATTTTGAAAGAAACTTGTTGAAAAACATTCTGAATTTTTTTGGGCTGTAATGGCGTAGTAATTGTAATGAGCTTGCAAAACATTTCTTCATAATTGCAGTTGCTCAACATGTGCAAGTAGACACATTGGACTGTGTGTTCTGTTCAATTACCTTGATCAAGGTTATTCCTCGTCCTTTTGTGCTGTACCTCTCAGCTTTTAGTCGTATTTTGCATCACATTCATTTGCAGATATCATATTTTTGTATTCTTGTTTACTCCATGTCAATTCTATTGGATTGCTTAAAGGGATTTGGTAACATTGTTCAGATGAGAGAAAATGGTGCTAAGGTAGTTACTTCAATGCCAGATGTACAATTAAAGATAATATGAAAGTCTGAGTGAAAACCGGACCATTATTAATGATATAAACTGATCTGATTCAATTTTGGGTGAATGTAAATCCCCACGAAGCAATGAATTGGCTCTATATGTACCATTCCAAACTTTTAAAGTTGATACTCTAAGACAATCCCAAATACTGAGATAATTACATAAATAGAAAGCTTTTAACCCCCATAATAACACCAAATGGTGTCCACCCGACAAAACAAGTTTAGAATAATGAATTTATTCGAGTAAACTCTACCAAAATATCTAAGTCTGAAACCCGGAAGTGCACGTAGAGTCGGGCCTCTATCCGTGACGTCACGAACGGGAGTCATATGGGCTCAGTGAGAGTGAATGGCAGTGATATCCCTACGTAAATGCTATCCTGTCAGAGCTTAGATTTGTTGTTATTAAGGAGTATATTTGATGGATTTTCTGTTTTCATTTGAATGAAGAATAACGAAGCAACATTTTCCAGTCGCTGATTTCTTTTTCCTCATATTCACCTATTTGGTAGAGATTTAAGACGAGTTTACTGCTTAGGAATTAAAGTTAAATCGTGCACTTATGAATAGGCGGATGCATTATATTGTCATCAGATGTACATGAGCAGTTTTGTAAAACGAATAGGTCTAGAACTATGATAGTACTTATCATAGATGTGTGTGACTGCGATAAAAAGGATACAGTACCAGTTAAACATTTTATGTTGTACTATATCAAACTTGAACGAGATCATGCAAGCGCGCTTCCAATATTTTGGCGAGTGATGCGGCTCTTGCATGAACGTTCGTGGAGCGAGCAGAATCGGGAGGTAAGACCAAGCCGCTGCTCTAGGCGCTACTTGCTTGTGATGGAACGTACGTGCGCTATTATGTTTATCGGCAATTGCAAGAGAATGAAAGCGACGTTGCCAGCTAAGAAAAACAACTAACAAAGACTTGCTCCTGACTACCGGTGTCAGAATTGGTAGATGAAGGATGTTCAGGGCCAAGGAAGGCGAAAGACATGGGAAAAAGGAAGAAGAAACCCGATCGGGAGATCGCTGTAGTGTATGGTAATGAACTGTGCATGGGTAGACAGCTGATCACTCCGTGCCTGGGCCGATTTCAACACCAAAACAAAAATTACATGGTGAAAATATCGACTAATAGCACATCGTTGGCATGTATATGTCATAATTTTTAAAAGGGGAATTGATATTAATACTATGAAGTACTAGGGGAAGGTAAAGAATTGTACATAGAATTATGATTTATTAGACTTTTCAGCCGTTGAAACAAAAATATGCAGAAAATCGTATCACTCTGCACATGTTTGCTATGGAACATCCGGGTACGTGAATATACTCTCTCCCGGACGTGAGGTCATAAATAGTAGACCAGCGTCGTGACTGATTTTCTATGCAAAGAGAGGCGGATATTTTAGACATTTCAATTGAGGATTTCGAGTAGACAGAATTTTTTTGTGATATACTAAGTAATTGAAAAACTTTAAAATAACATTTACTTGCCGTAGGTAACAAATTAAGGGACATTTATTTGCTTAGAGTATCAACTTTAAGTGTTGAAAAAATTTTAAAGGCCTGTTTTATGTCTTATTTTCATGGAAAACATTTTTAATGATGCATACATGTACATTTAGTTGTTGTTACGTAAGAAACATTAGGGGAACCATGTCCGTCTTGTCCGTCTACTAAGTCTGAAATAAAAACGAGGGGGAAAAGGTGATTCCTTTTTACTATAGTATGGGGGAGGGGGGGATTTGCACCCTGGTAAAGGGTAAATGGTTGGTAGTGATGCAATTTATTTGTATGACCTGAGGGCATGTTATCTAGTGTAGCATCTAAATAGTTGTATAACCATGGAAACAGATTGTTTATGCAAGGATTGTACATGTAACATACATTGTTTGCTTTCTCAATATGAATATGTTGTATAAAGTTGACGTTTGACCAAATAATGATAAAAATTAATAATAATGAATCTTGATGTATATAGTGAAGTACTGTCTCTAAGCGCTTTACAGATATTAATATATTTGCTTTCCAATGGAAATTGTCCTTTAAAGTTTAATGTAAATATAACATTTTAGGGGGACAAGCATTCATTAAAAAATAATAATTTTGAGAGTTTTAGTAAACATGCTTCGCCACCCTTCCTTGGGAACAAAACTATTTGCGACATCCTTCTATGAGCAGGCGACAGTCAATATCCAGACTGAAGCGATCTCTAAATGAACGTCAAAAACACTTGATGCTTTGTCATACATACCCTATACCATAAAAGAATAGAAAATAAGAATTTAAAAAAATCTGAATTGCTATGGGTTAAAAGATACAAAAACACAGGATAACAGTATGCTTTAAAAAACCCAGTGAAAACAATATGTGAACAAGTATGGTAGTTCAGTGTACCGATACAATGTGGTTGATAGCAAAGATGTCCACAACGTGATTGGGGGTGTAGAATTCATTCAACTATGCCTTTATCAGAAACATGAACCAAACTGATATGCTATGCTTCAATAATTTGGACAAAATATATATAGACAGGCAACTTCTACATATTAATTTTATTGTATTTTTTCCATTAATCTTTTCTACTTCTTATACCCTACTTGCATGTTATTTTGTATATTTTATTGTATTTCTTCTTTTATTTCTCTTCGTCAGTGTTTTTGTCAGGAATATATTATGTAAAGATACTAATCTGGAAACTAAATAAGTGACTGTAGAATCGTGAATATAGAAGTAGTCTACCTAATAATGCAGGATTTGAATCAATGATTTCACTCTCCGTACAATATGAACGGCATGGCATCTTATTCTATATGGACAACAAAATCTGCCAAACATACTAGTATAACTTACTTCATGTAGTTACATAATAACAGAAATTAACACTTGCCATACCCATCAGTGTTTCTGTACATATTATGCACATATTGTTATTACAATAGTAATAGACCCCTTTGCACATGGAATGTAATGTATGCATTAATACATGCATCTTTATTGTATACATATATGTCTAATTACAGTTCATATTACCTTTTACAAAATTATGAATTATGATAAATCAATGAGACTACTCTACATTTTTGATCTAAATTTGTTTTTCAATTTTGTTTCATTTTATTGTTGCAGCAACAAGTTTTTCTACAACAACTTCAAGAGCACTATTACCAGCAGTACATGCAACAGATCCAAGAGGCACAAAACCAGCAACAACACAATCATATTGCTCCTTCATTAACCATGGAAAACCAAACAGGTAAGTAGAGAGTTTATTCTCAAGTGGAAAGCTGTAAATTGATCTTCTTCTTATTCAACTAAAATAGTCATTGTGCTTCTGTGAAGCTTTCTGCAAATTATTAATCTTTTATATATCACATATGTAATATGTTTTATTGTGATACAATTACTGTATTAAAGAGCACTATATGATAAATTGCAATTATTTAATGTATGCAGAAAAACATTAATGAATATGTTACAAGCATTTGATTTGCATACAGATTGTAATATTGTATTATTAATTTAAAGCCAGGAATGTACAGGTAGTGGTAATAATAATAATTATAGGCATTTCTATAGCGCCGTCTATCTAGAAATTCTATTCCGAGGCGCTATAATTATTACTCCGGCTTTAGCCTAGCTGGTACTTATAGGAAGCGATGTAATTTTCTGCCAAAATTCAGTGTTTATTTTTTCATAAAAAATGTACTTTATGTTACCATCCTGTTACTTCATTTCCCATTTCTTGCAGAGGGAGTGTCTCCACAAGATGGCACATCTCCTAACAAACTAGCACAAGATCTTAGTCACCTAGAGCTGGGTGGTGAAGGTGATACTGCTCCTCCCAATGGAGATATCAATAATATTCCCCTCAACAGTGATGGTGAGTGAAGCTTAGATTAATAGATACAAGGATACAAAGAGGATATAAATAAAGTTCAGCTAGACCAAATATATACATTGATCAATGGTATATAAGAAGGAGAAATCCTTGTAGTTCAGAAAGATGTAGTGTATAAAAATTAGATATATCTCTACTCACTTTATTCAGCATGTTTGTTTCATAGTACTTCATGGGTTTCTAATTCTGGTTATTTCCCTTTCTTACAAATTGTTACAAAATTGGTAGTATTCTTACTTGTTGCTCTTGTTATTGTTCAATGTATTGATATGTATCATAAGTATTTGCAAGGATTTTAGGGCTTTTTTGAGATAAGGAATTATAGAAACATCTTGTGAGAGAGGCATGAAACTAAAAGTGAACATGAAAATCTTTAAGGAGTCATCTGTGTGATTGAAACAAGAAGATATATTGATAACAATAAAAGAATGTGGATAGAATACATTTAAGTACCTGTATTAAGTACCTTAGATGAAATTATGTTTGACTATTGTTTACTTGCCTCCAATTTAGGTGCTTTTACATATGGTGAAAGTTGAACACTAAGCAAAACAACTACATAGGGATGAAAATGTCAAAGTTATTGAGGAAGATTTGATCGCTTTTGCTTTGTCCTGTTTACGAATTACAGAGGACCAATATCCAGTCATCTGCAAGGCATCATGCTGGACACGCAAGAACATCAAAGAGTTTAAGAAAGAGCTGGTATCAGAGAAGGAGTCTGTGATAAAGGTTGGGCATGGTGAGACAGTGACTGTACGTGTACCCACACACCAGGAGGGAAAGTATATCTTCTGGGAGTTTGCAACGGATAGCTATGATATCGGCTTCGGTCTCTACTTTGAATGGACGGAGGCAGAGAGTAACGCAATCAGCGTCCATGTTAGTGATTCCAGTGAGGATGAAGAAGAGTTTGAAGATGAAGAAGGAGGAGGCGGTAAGTAATATTTCTCATCTTTCAGGGTACTTAAGAGGTATGGGATAGTATAAAATATTGACTGATTTTAGAGGCATGTTTAAAAACCATTAATCCAACTCGACCTTGAAGCTGTAGTATGTTCCAAGATGAAGGGAGGGCATAGAATTTATCCATTAACCCAAGAATAAGTAGTCATTTTTTTTTACAGGGATACTTCCTGACCCAAGAACCATTGCGTTTGAGTTTGAGTAGAGTGAGTGTCTTACTATGTATCCAATGCAGTCCATAGATAACTTCATGGGTTATTATTACTTGGCTTTAGCTGGATTGCCATAAAAGGGCTTTCCAGTATGCAAGGATATCTTTCAGGATAGAGGACCCCCGATGGATGAGATCATTCCAATCTATAGACGAGACTGCCACCAGGAGGTGTACGCTGGAAGTCACAAGTACCCCGGCAGAGGAATCTATCTGCTCAAGGATATCTTTCATACCAAAGACCATTTACTTTAGCTGACCTTTAAGATTCAAACTGGGTCCATTTGATCCCTAATCCTTCATTTTCATCACTGTACTATGCAGGAAAGAGTGACATCGAGCGAGGAACGAAGGATAGAGGACCCCCGATGGATGAGATCATTCCAATCTATAGACGAGACTGCCACCAGGAGGTGTATGCTGGAAGTCACAAGTATCCTGGCAGAGGAATCTATCTGCTCAAGTTTGACAACTCCTACTCCCTCTTCAGATCCAAAACACTCTACTATCGGGTGTATTACACCAGAGATACCCAACCCGGTAGGACGCCCCCAGACGCCGTAGAAACCTAGATAACACCCAGGCTAAACACATATGTGATATGCTGGTAATGTGTATATGATTATAACCTGTGCCACTCTTGTACACACTGTTCTGTATTGAATCATACCCGCATTGCATTGGCCTCGAGTACCTGGTGCATTGTCCCTAATATCTGCCATATGTTGCTGTTTATGTATGTGGAGCACTAATTTGAATGAGGAATAAACAGAAATGTTCGTGTATGGGTTACATTAGATTAAAGGAAGTGTCATTCATTTGAAATCTCAAATTGAAAGCTGGAAGTCATGTTCCTCGTAGCTATTTAGTTACAAGTATTTGCTCAAGTCTGGGTTCAAGAATTACTATATTTTGAAGCTAATTGCGGAGAAGAGCTGCCAAAATATACCTTCAATTAGATTTTGAAACCATAAATTTGCGAATCAAACAGAAATATGTAATTCGTTCTCAATACATACATGTAGATAGGACTGTAGAGATATATGATATAACATCTTATTAAAACAAAATTATTGGATCTTCAAATTTGCAGACAAGGGGAAAATAGTTGTTACTAACAAAAAATGTAACTCCCTTCCCAGCTCTATCTCTCTCTCTCTCTCTCTCTCACATACGACATGTGTGGATACGTGGGTGGGTGAGTGAGGTTTCAGGCTACAGCTGTTCTGATATTTGTGTAAATATATAGCCCCCAAGAAAGCGAAGAAGCCAGTAAAGAAAACGACTGAGAATGATGCTACCTTAATTTAAAAGAGCTCTAATATGCAGTGGCTTGCAGATTTCAAGAGAAAGTCAGAGCACTCATTTTGACTCATTGCAACATTTCTGGTGCAGTTTGAAGAGATATATAGAGTTATATTCTCTTTGCAGCTATTCCTGCTACATGTATTTACAACTATGATAACATGCAACGGGAGAGAGGAGTGTCTTCAATTCAGATAAAATAGTTGGGAAAAGGAGACGATATACTGAAAATTATATAGATATATATTTATATTTTGACTGTTGTTGATGTTGAATTTTATGTGAGCTTATGGTTTGAGACAAGAGGATAAAAGTGATGTAAAAAGTAACACAAATATGTTAACCTTTCAACTTCAAAGGAATCTATTCTGGCATTGGTTTGTGAAAATGTCATTACATCTCAAAACTAATCTTTAACAAGCAAAATGTCTGCTACAGAAAAAAAAGGGGGAAAATTTATAAGAAGAGGCTTTCAGATATTTGTTTGTGTTCCATTGTGATCATTAAACACAATAAAATTATGGCTTGGCTGTGATGATTCTAAATCTGAGAGTAGCTAACTTTACCAGAGCCTTTTAATATACAAATCAACATTACCAACAGATACCAAGAATGGTAGAAATCAGGAGCATGAAGGAAAAGAAGGGAGATTAATTCTTTACTTCATATATTGAGTGATAAAATTCATATATATACATCACAATGATCAGAGTAATCACTTTCTTTTAGAATTCATACTGAAATAGATATCAATTAGTATTTGAGGCAAACGGATATACCAATCCACTTTTTGCTCAATATCAGTTATGTTGGTATAATTGAAGGCACATGCCTTTGCTTTATAGCTGCAATTACATGTATACCAGTATCCAACAGTTTGTATTCTACAATGTAGTAATCACCCCGTATGCACAGAAGTTTTGTTTGTTTTTGTTTGTCAGGCAAATTCCTTTTATATTGTTGTTGTTTTGTGTTTTTAAAACAGAAGAACACATAAAATCTGAATCTGGTTACTTTTGCTATCAAAGGAAAATGTAAAGAGTTTCATGAGTGAAATTGATGAGAAAAGGTTAAAACCTTAAAGTAATTCCTTATAACTGTTTATAACTATTCCTGTTTGCTGGTATGTGAGCCAAATGGATGGAACTGAATATGACAGGACACACAAAAAGTATTGCAGTGTTTGGTTATGGGTTTATAACCTAAAACAGGCAGAGGGGAGAAAACGTACATGAAATGAAATCTTGTTATTGTGTACACACCGTTGGTGCTTACCCAATTATGGTCTACATGTATGCTACATGTACGACATAATATGGTATAGGTCTTCATCGATAGTAGAATGCTCAGTGTCTATAAATATGAACCTCTATTTATTGCACTTGCTCCTGTGTTTCCACCATGCCAAACATATTATATACTCAATGTTATGTGAGTAAATATATTCTATTACTTGTAGACCATATACAGTAGGCAGGGATATGTATATTTGTGTTCATATTCACACTCCACTGAATAGGTTTTAAAGACATATGAGGAAAGTGATATCATCTTTTTGAAGCCAGGAGGGCATTTACTCATATGCTTTAACACAGAGTTAACACCCTTCTGGCTCCAAACAGACGATACGATGATTGTATAATCTTAAAGACTACTAACTAAATTCCAAAAATAATGGTTCAGTACAGTAAACACGTGAATAGATAGATATGAATAATGATAATAATAATAATAATGGGTTCTTGTATAGCGCTCATGTCAGTCAGATTTGACTGTTGCAGTAGCTAATATCAATATAGTCAAAATTTATTTGTAATAGTTAATGCTGCATAATTTACGTGATTTCCCTTGCAGTTGCAGTACAGACTTGTAATGTTTGAAGAGAGGGTGGAGGTAATAAATGATATATCAATAGGGTCACGATGAAGAATCATCCCATAGTGATATCTTTGAAAAATACAATATTTCTAGAATAAACTAATATTGTGTATTACAAACATTTCCTTCCAAAACAGGAATGTGTAATGATATAGCAAATTATTTTTCTCTGTAAACATGCAGAAAGCAAAGGAAATTATTATTTACCGTGCTAAAATGATGATAATTTTGAAAGGAAATTTTATAGAATTTTTTGAAGAATGAAGTGTTGACTTTGATATATCATTTTTTTGTTCATGTGAAAATGGAAAATGTGAATATTGAGTGATTATTTCAGTAAAGGATGGTCAAGTGTGTGAATCATTTGGAATGATACAAGCTTTATTATTACAGTTTTTTTTTAACCTTCAAGAACTGAATATTTGGTTTGTTTGTGTACCTTTTTCTTCATGCTTGAATTTAATTCAAGGTCTAAATCATAATCCATGTAACATCAAGAATCATTCTTGTAGATTTGTACATGTAGCAAAATGTTAATGCTATGTGTGCATGTTTAATCACAAATATGTTCGACAATTAGTTTGTTTTTATATTGTTTTATTTATTACTCCAATCTTGCTGTGGTACTTTCTTCTATTGCAAGAGAATTTATACTTTGTGTATGTATATGTAAAACCAACTTTTTCAAGGGACTCGCCCTGAACTTGAAAAGGTTTTTTCAGACTCCATCCCCTTTAATATGGGACATCTCTTTTTTTTGTCAGGGAAGAATTTAAGATTTGTACAAGGACTCAGTAAGAACCAGAAACACAGCCAAGATCCTCTCAGAATTGTTGATTCTTGTATTTTCCTGTATCTGATACATTCTGATCATCTTCACAAGGAAATCTTGATATTTTCAATATTGATCGATGTGGCTAACAACCTGATGTATTATTCATTTTTTTTGCAGATATCTCATTGCTTAAAGTGGACTACACAATAAGCATGTATGATTATATGCCCAGATTGATTTTTCTTTTCTTTAGTCTTTTGTGCTGTTCGAAAAAGCTCACTATGAGAGATAATATGTGAAATGAATTGTTTTGTTGTAAAGATCATCCCCGAATTGCAGAGCTCATTCTGACACAAAATAAAGCTATTTTCAAGGATTACTATTCATACCTTAAATGAACTTTTGTCTGTGAAATAAGGATACTTTGAAACCTAGTGCATTCTCCTTAGCTTTCATTTGATCCTGTCATTTATTTTGTAGTGTGTTCTTTATGTTTCTCTTTTTTATGTCTGTATGAGATTTGCATATAATTTATGATTATTTGAGTGTAGTTTGTTCATAAATGTCTCAATATTGTTATTTTAGCTTGTAATATTCTGGAGCCCATTACACTGATCACATAGTGATGATAATGATGGCATGAATGCTAGAAAGATATATGCTAATGATACACCTTCAAATTGTATACGTTGTGTAATTAAAAGCTGGTCATTGTAAAAACATTAGCCGATTGAAGTCATCATTTTAGTACATGTATAATATATGGAGAGTTGGGTGTATAGAGTGAGCTATTGGGAAGGATCTCTGTAAAGTCTCTGTCCCAACAAACATGAAGCAATAACAATAAATATAATCTGTGTATCTATAACAATAATATTCATGCCTGATAATAACCTGATTTAAATCGGTTTCCCGATTTATTTTTTTCTTCCAGATTTTTCCCCATTTCCCCCCAAATTTTCTTACTCAAAAGGAGGGGAATGTTGTTAGATGCCATCCCCCCCTCCCCTAAATCCTCTTTTAATTTTTTCTTTAAAAGGGTTGAGGGGGGGGATATGATTGGCCCATTATGGTTAGAAATCACCCTGGACACAATGTAAATCATTGGCTTTGACCAGAAGAATTTGGAAGGGATGTGATCCTTCATGATCATTTATAGGTATAGGTTTATTAAGAAGGTTATTGCTACATATGTTGGGACAGGACCTTAACTGCATATCCAATGATGAAAACAAGAGAGTGCTTACTTTAAAAAGCAAGTACAATAGTGATAGAGAATGTGAGAGCATCAGAGAGAGAAGAAGAGAGAGAGAGAGAGAGAGAGAGAGAGAGAGGACTCCTGACCTTGAACATTCTATTCCAAAACTTCTGTTTTTCTTTCTATTTCTCTTTTTTTCTTAAATCCATCATCCATATTGTTTCTGTCAGTATACATTTTTTTTATTATTATACTTCTACCTGATTATGAACAACACACTGTGTCAAAATGATTATGAGGAACTTGAAGCTCCTACACGCTATGTTTTTTGATATTAAGTTCCTTTTTTCCACATATAGCTTGGAGATTATCTAGTGTGAATGCAATAGATGTGTAAATGTGGTAACTGTTCATTAATATCAATTTTGTTAATATGCTATGTTTTGTTAATGTATTGTTTTTCACATGAAATAAAAGAAACCAAACTGAAAGAGGAGAGGAAATAGTGGAAAGAGAATGAAGAAGAGGAATTGGCAAACAAAAAGGAAAAGAGAATGAAAGCCCTTGGTTGCATACAATGTTCTTGAATATTTTCTATTTGTCCTATTAGCAACATAAAACATTGACATTTCCATTATAGGCATGTATTCACTATACATCAACACACTCACAAACACGTGCATTCGCCATACAGGTCTGTAGATTCACCATGAAGAGTGAAGTGATTCTAATCATAGACATGCACTTGTTTAGAATTACTCATTTTTATGTCACATGGGGGTTATTTTTCATGGTGAAAAGTACTAACAGCCTTCGCTACTTTGCAATTATTTTGAGTACCGGTAATCAAACTTCTGAAAAATCAGGGTATTAATTAGGTACATGCAAAAATGCAAAATTAAATAGAAATGAAATTATCAAGAAACTTTATGATGTTTAAAAGTTGACATCATTTCTGTGAATCTAGTTGAGATGCAATATAAAAATGGAATATGATTTCAAGTCCTCTGCTCAGTCATTCACTCCCTCTGGGCAATGATCCGGATATGATATGATTCTATTTCCTCACAGAAAAGTATATTGGGGAAGAGGGGTAATGCTATTTGTGTGTGTGGGATCAAACATCATATCATAATGACTATACCAACTGCAAATCGAACAAATCAAAATGTGAGTGTTTACATGTTTCATAAATTCATCTGTATTGTATTCCATTTAAACCTTTACAATTTTGTTTCTCTATTTTTTCTGCATTCCTTTAACGTAATTTGATATGAAAGTAAAATTCCCTATCAGGAAATATCAGATCAGTTTACGTCCAAAACAAGTTCAACTTTCCTGCTAGCAAGCAATTTCATCAATTTACTTCTGGGTATTAAACTAAAGCAATATATGTCATAAAGCACTACAGTATGCAATATAAAACATCCACTCCTAGTGCATCAACACACTTAAGACAAAGGCAAGCTTTAAAACCTTTTTTTCCATCAAATTCAAATTTTATTTCTGTTCCAGTCTCCCATTTTTGTACTTACAGATTATTGTACTTAAGCTCAAAATATAAGTATATTTATTCATTTTCTTTCTGTTTGTAAGAGACAAAGATCAATTTAACTTTCACAGAATCCACACAAAGTATACTGTGTGCCCTATAATCAGAAGGAAATATATAGGGTGCACTGGCTCAATACAGAAAATTACATATCATATGATTACCAGTAATCATATTTCAAACTGATAAACACTTACATCAAAATAATACTTTAATTCAAATTTCAGAGTACAGGTACAAAGAACAAAGGTTTTCTTCTTTTTTCCCCGAAAATTCTCAAGACATTTTTCATTTCAAAATCAAAACATTTTAAAGCTAAGGCCCTTTTAAAGCTCAAAGTCACTCATCAATGCTAGAAAAACAGGTACCCCATTACATGACTTATCTACCTGTACATGTACATCCATCATGTTTCCAATCAAGCTGCTGGTTAAGTCTGCTGGTAACATAAAATTTCAAGAAAAAGGGTGACTCCAGTCTAGTCTGTAGTTCACTTTCAACACTCAACTTAGGTATCATTCACAGTTCATTTATTACTAATATAATGACACACTATACAAAATAAATGCATCTCAATGCTGAATTGTCAAGGTATCTTTTGGGACATAAGGAAATAAAATTTACGGTAAGCAAGTTTTACGTCACACTTTTTCAATTTGGCAAATCAAAAGTCACCAATTTCTTCTGGAATATTTACATAAAGAGTTACAAATTCAGCAAAAGAATCAAATTCCATACTATATTTTCATGTATTTTGCAATTTGTATCATTTACTAATTCAAAAAATATAACATTAAATGGAAATTTAGGTCATTCAATGGCACAGATTAACATTATGACAATCAAAGGACTTACATGTACTCACATGAAGCGCTTTATACAATAGATTCATACAAAAATCAACTTCATATTACTCCAAGTATGAGTTTCCAAAATAGATGGTTCAGTATACTTTTTAATTCACAAGTATGGCAGTGAGATTACCCTTTCATCTGCTGGGAAGGTTGTTAACTCAGAGACTATTACGAAGAGTTACATAACGCACTTCTGGATCTCTGAGTAGACGCTTTCTAAAGGCACATTGTAAAGGTCTCTCTTGGGTATTTTCAAGAATTTGTCAAAATATCTACAAATAATTTCACATAGAAATTGGTTGAATACAAAATACAACTAGTTGTATACCGTAGTTGTTTACTTTTCAAACACATAACATATCAATGATGGTAATTGCCTCAGGTTTTTTTCCTAAATACTAAAAAGGAGAAGGAAAATTCAATTTAAACGCAAACAACAATTCTCCCTAACATCATAATAACAGTCATTTGTAACATACCTCTACATTATACTACAAGTCTGATTCCATATCTGGTCTCACATTCATTGATGTGTTCCTATGATGATATCTATCAAAGGTAGATCCATTTACATTAATTATAATTATCATCAAGGCATCTGTCTTTACAATATGGCAAAAATTGATGATTTTACTTCAAGTCAAATTAAGTCACTAAGTATTAAAGATTATTACGATGATGCTATTACTCATAAACACATTCTCCTTTATCTACAGACTTCTACAGCATTTATTCACATACTGTATGGACTACTTCTGTACAGACTTCAGTTCATATATAACACATCATATTCCATCCATGAAAGTAATACGCATCAAGCTCTTTACAAATATGTAACGGACAGGTAAATATCAAATTATGAATCAGCAAATGATCAAGGTAGTTACACGTACATGTACATTATTAAACTCAATCAAACAGCCAAACTCGATTAGTTCATCAAAAGTTTAGTTGATGAAACTATAGAAGTATTAATTGAAAATCAGGAAAACACCACAATGAGGATCACCAATCAATATCAATCCTAACTATTTTTAATATTCCAAATATATTTCCTAGCATTTTGAATATTCCAAATATATTTTTCGAGCATTTTGAATATTCCAAATATATTTTCGAACATTTTGAATATTCCAAATATATTTTCGAGCATTAAATCTCTTGTGGTGGTAGATTTAATGTTGACACAAACACCATTTTTATGCGAGGCATCATTAAATGGGAGAAACAGGATTGTCTTGTCACTGATTTTGGGCAAATAAAATATTTATACATGTAGGTATCACCATTAAATGAAATACCTGAGTGAAAACTTTAAAAGCTTTCAAATATTGCTGCTGCACACTTGGCATCTGATTAATATTCAAAATATTTTGATAACTCAATATCAATCAAAATTCACTTGTCACTTTTTCTAGCCTGAGCTGCAGAGGCATTGGAGCGATGTCATCTTTTTTTGTAGGAAAACAATAAGTATGACATTGGTATCTGTCATCTGAAATATTGTAATTTTAGATATAATGGTCATGGTCATACCCCTAATATACAGAATATTCCATCAAGGAGAATGGCAAAAATGATCATTTTGCTGAGATCTTTATTCATCAAGATCAAAGATAACTTGGTTAGAGAATTCAAAAGCACACTTTGTTTTGTGGTCCTGCATTTCAAGAGGGAGCTCATCATTTTCATTGCTTTTCTTGATTTCATCATTATTATTCTTTGAATCGCTGTTTTCTGGTAGATCTTGGGCTTCACCATTAAGCTTGGAGCTTTGTTTCTTAGCATCAGACTCTACTCCATTTGTGAGAGGTGAAATATCACCGGGAGAACTTGGTTTGATGTGGTTCTCATTGGTGTCAGAACTTTCAACACCATTGCTTGCTGCCGAGCTTGCCTCGCGCCGCGCCTTTTCTTTTCTCCGGCGCCTAGATCCCTTGGACTTCTTACCATTAGTGCGGGGAGAGGACGGGATCTCCTGGCCTGACTCTGACTCGCTGCTGGACTGTCGCATTAGGACCTGGTCTGGTTGCCACTTCCATTCTAGATCTTCATATTCCTCTGTACTTCCATCTTTGTGGTGCAGGAGTTCAGAATCACTGAAATACTCCCAGGAGTTGTCCTTCAGCTTCTCAATCATGCGTCTAGGACCAAAGAATGGGGTGCGGCGTCCTCCTTTCTTCTTGTTGTATCCTTTCTTGGGTTTCTTGGGACCATCAAGGAAGAGTTCCACCAAGACTTCTTCACTGAAGCTGACCGACTTACATGCTCTCCTGCGAGGACTCCTCAAAGCACTCTTAAGACTAGAGTTATGGAAGAAGAACCTGTAGGAGATGACTGAGAATCACTGTGACGTGAACTGACATCACTCTCCTCCTTGGTCTCATCTGCTGCAGGTCCTAGGTCCAAGGCTGGGATGATGGACTCTTTAGATCTCACAGATGCCTTCTTAGATCCATCAGATTCTCCTTTATGTTTGGCACTGGCTTGTGAACTCTTTCCATTGTCTGCTACCTCACAAGTGACCTGTGTATTCAAAAACAAAATGTACAAAAACATAATGATATCCTTACTAAAGTAATTTCCATGTAGACTTACATTAGGTAAAAAGCTTACTCACCTGATGGATGACAGTTATGGAATACATTCATTCGCAGGAGGAAAAAAGAGAGGGATAGTCAAGGGTGATTTGCCCACTCACTTTTTAAAAAGCACGAATTTACAACAAGAATTTCATCCAAATTCAAATGCACCTTTAACATCCACTAAAACTATTTGACAAAGCACCACAAGAAAAATGATTAGAAATAAATTCCATCTGTGGAAAATATGATGAATAAAACATGAGAATCAAGAAAAGAAAATAAGATAATTGAGATCCTCAAGACTTGTTCATATCATACAGTGTTTACAGTATCTTAATTCCACATTTATATCAAATTATGTAAACATGTATTTTTACTGCAACACAAAACTCTAAAAAATGAACAGTAAGCTCACACAACTCCGGGAAAAAAATCTGTAAACTAAAACAGCAATAAAAGCAAACGTACTCAGTTTTACTTTACAGCCGCTCTAACCTCTTTAGTAGTGAAACATTCAATAATAAATATAAATTAAATACATGTAGCAGCCTTTAAATGGGTTGTATTTGCTCACTTCATGTCAATATTAACAAATTCTCCAACATTAACAAGTTCTCCTAAACAGCGAACCATCTTTTAATTGACATACTAACTTGAAACTGAGCCTTGACGCAGTCGGTGGAGAACTCGGATACAGAGCATGGCATCGTCTCCTTGCTCCTGCCTTCATCGGATGTTATCTCCTCCAGAGCATCTTCCAGACTCTCCTCTGTTGCAAAACGTTTCTCCTGGAAGGGGGCAAAGATAAGAGATGATGTCCCTTGAATTAAAGACTGGAAGACACGTAAGAAGATCCCATACAACCAATGCATCATCATAATATGTGTTCAAGACTGCTGATCATGTTAACAATTGACCTTCTCATGTCCCAGGTCTTTCAAGGTCAATGGTATTGTCTTGAATCGGCTCAAAAGCACATGTCTATAATGATGACAGCATTGGACACTGACCTGCACAATAAGCAGGATGTCCTATATGTTGTACACTGAGATATTCTTCTCTAGTTTATAGCATTGAACAAACTACATGTATACTACTACAGGGAACTACAAACAAAGTGCTGTCAGCAAATAATGTGCATGTACTACAGAATCATCAATAGCAAGGGCATAAAGAGGCACCATTATTAAATTTAATACTTTTATTCTTTTCTTTCCTTGCTTGGCTTGCTATGAGGCGGTAAATACTTTCAAGCTCCATCAAATTTAAATGGGTACAAAGTTCAGTCTTTCACTGATCTTATTTTGTGTTACAGATCAAAAGACACAATGTATGTTTCTAGCAGTCAACAATCTCAGTTATAGTTGTTTTTGTTTTTTTTAATTTCAAGATAGCATTATGATTTTCCTGTGCTAAAATACATTTTAGCTAATGTAGGTATTCCAATAGCCCCTGAATTTTCCTTCTTAGGGTCAACAGGGGTCATTTCTGATGACAAGTTGAAATGGCCCCCAGAAGAAAGACACACTGAGGTTGGATGTGCAGAAAAAATTAAAACAAGAGATACATGTACATGTGCATGTATATTGATAATAAGTTCAGAGCTTTTCTATCTATGATACATTCATTGCCATGCATACCAATATCTCACCAGATTTTAATATTCTGTAGCTGTGTGGTATGTTTCAGGCCAATACCATTAACCGTACCAATGCTAACCAATACTCTTTGTACACGTCTACTTGAGAGAGCAATTTTGATAGACATGTGCATTGTGCACTGTTGAACGTCAAGTTGTTGTACACTGTAGAAACACAATAACTGCCTAGCCCGAGTTTTTGTTTGGAATTTGGCCATTTTGCTGCTACCTTATCTTCTCTTCCTATGTTTGCCTAAAAACTCATAGTCCCCCCCCCCCCCCCCTCATACAAAAAGATATACATGTACCTTATATATCATATTTGTGTGGTGCATTGCACATGTACAGGCAAATATAGCAATGGTTGGTTTCACACTGATGATTCATAATTGAGTTTTGAATTTTACTTAAAATATGGAAAGATGAGACTACATGTACATGCAATTTACTTTGAATCCCAACATGTTTTGTGCATGCATCCACAGATGTAGCTGTAAATAGAACTCTACTTTCTATCATTTACTTTAAGTATTCATTCAAAAGACATTCAAGGGGAATGTAATAATCAGCATAATGTACAAATCATTTAATAGCTCTGGACAAACCAATCCATTCATGTATTTATTTACAATAAATTCACACAATAATAATACAGAGATACAAAGATCATGCCCCAAACAAGGTACATAGTAAATAGTAATCCTAAAAGTCACGACTTTACTTTGAGTTGGAAAATATGTTTGTGATGTGAATATGATTTTAGAAATGACAATTTTATTGTTTCTTATGAATTTAATATCATTTGGCCAACATTAACCTCAATTTCTGCTTTTAAGGGAATTTGAGATAGGGTGCACCCCCTCCCCCCCCCCCCCCTCTCTCTCTCTCTCTCTCTGCTCACCTGGATAAAACATAAAACTCACCTCCAGAGCATCTGCAGACACACCAGCCTTAAGAGCAGACCACAAGCATCCACTTCCTTCCATCTTCTTGAATACCAGGACCACATTGAGCTTGGAGACATCAGTATTCACCTTCGCATCTAAAGTCTGCCCTTCCTCACAACTTACGAGGAGAGTGAACATCTCCTCTGCTGTATCTGAAGCCATTTTAGTCCTCTTGAACATTGCTTCCACCATCTTTCCCCCATTCACTGTGTCTAGTTTGAAAGACTCTTCGTCTACGTTTGCTTCCCTGATGATGAGTGTGACTTTCTGCTCTGTTTGGTAGATATCAAACTTGGGAAAGATGGCTTTCGCTTTTTCCTCATTACAAAGCAATCATCTTCAGCATGCACTTCATCATTGCAAGGATTTCTTAGCTCTGAATCTTCCACAACTCCAGTTGCATCTTCTTCTGGGGAACCTTGGATGTTTCCCAATACACTGGTAGGATCAGCTCCAACAGAGGATGCGATCTCATGATCAGATGAACTTCCAAGGTCACCATCCCCTGGTTTGACTTCATCTGAATCTTCTTGCTGGTTTGCACTTGTGTCAGACTTTTCACAGCCAACAGTAGATTCCTCATCATCATTGCAATCAGGGGAGATGGCATCATTCTCTTTAGTTCTAAAAGAGTCGCTCTCATCATCACCATTTGTCACAATCTCCTGCACAAGAGGATTAGCTGCATGGGATACTGGTATTGTGGACGGGATTTCTGCTATCACGGGGGTAGAACAGCCAAGGTGATAATGAGACATGCTCTGCCCTTGTCAAATTTTGCACTTCCCTTGTCTTCATCCACAGGATAAGGTAGTGGGAGATCAAGACGGTAAAAGACTGGTTTCTTGCATTCCAGGAAGATGCGTTTCTCAAAGACATCCAACTGAACGGTGGCAGCAGACTTCAAGAGGGGAGCTCCACCTTCAGAATCAGCTCTTGAGGCCTGGTGCTTGGCGCTGAATCCCGAGCGTAGGTGAACTGCTGCAAGTCAAAGTGACCCCGATGAACAATGGAGTACTTTGGCTCTGTGAAGCCATCTTTCTTCTCAAGCTTCTTCTCATCATTTGTCTTTCTTTCTGAATCTCTATTCCCTGATATTTTGGAGGGCGTTTTGGCAGGCTGATTGAGCGTTTCCGGCTTCGTTGACTGGTCATACGGGTAGGATAGATTGAGGGCATCTAATGAGTTTTCACCTGTTGGACCAGCTTGACTTGGAGTTCTTAGAACAGTCGCCTGTGGACGGCCTTTGAACGTCATTTTAGGCTTTTTCACATTATTGCGATCCAACTTAACTTTGAATTCTCTCTCTATCCCGTCTATAGCTGAACTGTTCATTAACGTCCGAAATCTGCTATCTTTAGTTATCATTTCAAAGCACTCTGGATGAAACATGCAATCATACACCACACACTTTTTCCCTGCATGATCATAATCATCACGACCCGGAGCCAAACTGTGGGGCAAGGACCACTCGACACCCATTTTTCTTGCATTCCCACTACCCTGAGCAGAATTTGTCGCTTGAGGCTTACCTATACTCTCATTCTTACAAATATTGATGAATGCCTTCTTTTCTCCATCGATGCTTGTCTTCAACACGTATCCAGGTTTGGGATGCAAAAACTTTACGTCCATGCCTCGCGACCTTTCCAACTCTGCCAACTCCTCTTCGTATTTTTTCTTGTTTTCAGGATCAGAAATTTCTTGAGCATACTCGACAAATAATTTGCGGAACTCTTCGTTCTTCAAAGCCTTCTCGATCCGCTGCACTTCGTCGGCAGTTACATCAAGACCTTCAAATGCGTCTTTAGTAGCCATTTTCGTTCCCAATTTTCGTCGATTGCTATGCAAAAATGTAGCCCTCTCCTGACCTGGGCTGAGCAAGCTGACCTAGTGCGGATATGCATGCGCTACGCTGAGCTCGTGCAGGATATGGATCGCATCACACATTTAAATGTACATGTGTATTTGTATTATTGTACAGCAAAGGCACAATACACAAATGCATGCGTGGGTACGGTGGTAGTGGTGGTAGTTTTGTTTACCCTGTGACACAACAAATCGTTGAGGGCAGCAAATACATGGGGGTTTCATCATCCCTTTTTTTTCCTCTTTGTTTTCGAGAACCTTCTGATTTGTTTTCTTCAAACATACAACAAAACCACTAGCGTATCCCGTCCAGGGGGGGGGGGGGTGGGAGAGGGGCTGGGGCATAGCCCTCCTCATTTTCGGAACTCCAACCGAAACAACATCAACAAAGAGGGTACTGAGGGCACTAATTATTATTTTTATTTTTTTTGCTCCCGAAAATGTGAAAATCGCGCAGGCCGATAATTCGCTCAGTGGGTGCCCGGGTGGAGGGGGTGGGTATAGTGGCCCTCGGAATTTGAAAAATCGCACCCCCCCCCCCCCTGGATCCGCCACTGATGTAGTGATATAGCATCCATTTCTTTCACATTGATGTACTGTGTTCTCATCTGTCCTGCACTTCGTTAAATAACAAAATGCTATATCTTTCTTAATGTTTGAATAAAAATCAATTAAAAAATGCGTTCTATGCCAAATTATACAGATTAAATAATCGGGATAAACATGGTCAAACTCGTCATAACTAATACAATATTGCAAATTTGCATTGGAGGTAAAAAAAGTTTTCATTTTCACATAGGGTCTAAAATCAATATGCCCGAAATTCAAAGAGAAGAAAAATAAGCTTTCCGTCATTGTTTCATATAATTAGCAAAATGCAAGTAAATTATTTCAATTACTCCGTTCAGCACTAGCGAGACCAGATTCTGTTCGTTAAAAAAAAATCATCTATGTCCAGGCGCGGATCCAGGATTTTCCAATAGGGGGGGCCGGAAATTTGAAAATTGAGCAGACAGTTTTTCAACTTAACATACCAATACTGACAAGGTCATATTAGAAGCACCATACCGGTATTTTTTTGACATTTTCATCGGGGGGGGGGGGGGCTGAAGCCTCTTGCCCGAAAAAGTAATTTTCTGGTTTCACAATTCGGCTAGTGAGCGAAGCGAGCGAGCAAAAATTTGAGGATAATATGTATTTTGTGAAAGTGTTATTTATCACCAAAATATACGAGAAAAGATATAACAAATTCATATTCGGGCAGCTAGCTGTCCCCTCCCCCCCCCCCCCCCATTACGCGCGAAGCGCGGAAGCTTTGACGTTTCATTAAATTATTAGAGAAAGAAGACGATTCGTTGTACCGTTCTCGGTTGTTAATCGTTGTCTGAATTCAGTTTCCATACCCCCTCCCGCGCGAAGCGCGGAAGCTTTGACGTTTCATTAAATCATTAGAGAAACAGTACCGTTCTCGACTCTTAATCCTTGTCTGAATTGAGTCCCCCCCCCCCTTCCCTCTCCCGCGCGAAGCGCGGAAGCTTTGACGTTTCATTAAATTATTAGAGAAAGAAGACGATTCGTTGTACCGTTCTCGATTCTTAATCATTGTCTGAATTCAGTTTCTATACCCCCCTCCCGCGCGAAGCGCGAAAGCTTTGACGTTTCATTAAATCATTAGAGAAACAGTACCGTTCTCGACTCTTAATCCTTGTCTGAATTGAGTCCCCCCCCTTCCCTCTCCCGCGCGAAGCGCGGAAGCTTTGACGTTTCATTAAATTATTAGAGAAAGAAGACGATTCGTTGTACCGTTCTCGATTCTTAATCATTGTCTGAATTCAGTTTCTATACCCCCCTCCCGCGCGAAGCGCGGAAGCTTTGACGTTTCATTAAATCATTAGAGAAGAGTACCGTTCTCGACTCTTAATCCTTGTCTGAATTGAGTTCCCCCCTCTCCCGCGTGAAGCGCAAAAGCTTAACGTTTCATTAAATTATTAGAGAAAGAAGACGATTCGTTGTACCGTTCTCGATTCTTAATCATTGTCTGAATTCAGTTTCCATACCCCTCCCGCGCGAAGCGCGGAAGCTTTATCGTTTCATTAAATCATTAGAGAAAGAGTACCGTTCTTGACTCTTAATCCTTGTCTGAATTGAGTTCCCCTCCCCCCCCCCCCCCTCTCCCGCGCGAAGCGCGGAAGCTTCGACGTTTCATTAAATCATTATAGAGAAATAGTACCGTTCTCGACTCTTAATGCTTGTCTGAATTGAGTTCCCCCCCTTTCCCTCTCCCGCGCGAAGCGCGGAAGCTTTGACGTTTCATTAAATTATTAGAGAAAGAAGACGATTCGTCGTACCGTCCTCGATTCTTAATCCTTGTCTGAACTCAGTTTCTCATATGGAAACGTTTACTTGTATTTGTCTCATAAAAGAATTTTACCACGAACTGACTCCCACACGGTGTTGAGTGCTCAGGGGTCACAGGCCACTGGCTTCATCGGGCAGGAAGTTCCATTATGTGAATGGGTAAATTAACTATTACAAAATGAGGGGACACATTACATTGTACAATAGGGACACACATTGTTTTTATTGTGCAGAACATAGTTTTTTATTGACTTACTTATTGCATGAAACTATAAAACCAAAATGAAATTTGCGTTCTGGCAATTGGAGTACAAAGAATGATAGCAGGTGAATGAAATGCTTCAACAGCAACACAAACACCTGGGAAGCTAGGAAGCATTCATAAATTTGAATAATTTAGTTGATAAACGACTCCGCATGTGGACGTTTGTTGGAGCAGAAAGCAGTGGATTCTTAACAACACGAACCCATTTAACAGAATGTCGGAACGTAAATTAAATTCGGCGCGGTTGGAAATGCATCTTTCTACCCTGTGACATTAATGTTACGATCCAGTAAATTAAAACAGTTTAATGGCTCTTATTTTAAAATTACTCATTAAATAAAACCCACAACTTCAGTGGTATCAGAAAAAATATGTTATATCTTACAAATAATTAAAAAAAGATGTATAAACATTGTGAAAGTGTCGCATTTTACAATAAAAGACACCGATTTAGCGAAGATGACGTCATTAGTGCGCTTGCATCAGGGAATTCAAGGTTATTAAAGGTCAATTCAGACGCTGATATGTTATTGGTCGAGCCTTTTTGTTTCCTTTATTCCGACAAAATTATACAATCAATCAAAACAAGTTTGATACCAGAAGAAAGCTAACGATTAGTATTTTCATTAACCGCTTGCCCCAAAGTCTCTTGACCACAGTGAAACGAGTGAGAGCTTGCGAGAGCGGCCAAAGTGTGATTGAAACTCGCTATTTGCTCTTCCTCAACGCACAAAGAGACGACATTGTGCTGGATAAATGTATTTTTTCCGACAAAAGTACAGAAAATTTGCATATGGTCTTTTTATATTATACTTTATGAAATGTTACCCGAGTGACTTCCGAGCGCCCCAATGCTGGAAAGAAAAGCACATTTGGGAAAACTTCACTTTTCCATGGAAAAATGCTTATTTGTTCTATGCACGCAGGTCAGATTGAGCGGATGATACAACGTTTCCATATGTACCCCCTCCCGCGCGAAGCGCGTAAGCTTTGACGTTTCATTAAATCATTAAAGAAGAGTACCGTTCTCGACTCTTAATCCTTGTCTGAATTGAGTTTCCCCCCCTTCTCCCGCGCGAAGCGCGGAAGCTTTGACGTTTCATAAAAATAGAGAAAGAAGACGATTCATTGTACCGTTCTCGGTTGTTAATCATTGTCTGAAATCAGTTTCCCCCCCCTCCGCGCGAAGCGCGGAAGCTTTGACGTTTCATTGAATTATTAGAGAAAGAAGATGATTCGTAGTTTCATTCTCGAATCTAAATCCTTGTCTGAATTCAGTTTTTCTCCTACCGCGCGTAGCGCGTAAGCTTCTGACGCTTCATTAAATTATGAGAGAAAGAAGGTGATTCGTCGTATCATTCTCGATTCTTAATCCTTGTTTGAATTCATTTTTCACCTTCCGCGCGAGGCGCGGAAGCTCTGACCTTTCATAGTTTAATGAAATTATTAGAGAAAGAAGATAATTCGTTGTTCCATTCCCGACTCTTAATCCTTCTCTGAATTCAGTTTTCCCCTCCAGCGCAAAGCGCAGATGCTTAACGTTTCATTAAATTATTAGAGAAAGAAGACGATTCGTCGTACCGTCCTCGATTCTTAATCCTTGTCTGAACTCAGTTTCTATACCCCCTCCCGCGCGAAGCGCGTAAGCTTTGACGTTTCATTAAATCATTAAAGAAGAGTATCGTTCTCGACTCTTAATCCTTGTCTGAATTGAGTTTTTTCCCCCCCCCCCCCCTTCTCCCGCGCGAAGCGCGGAAGCTTTGACGTTTCATTAAATTATTAGAGAAAGAAGACGATTCGTTGTACCGTTCTCGGTTGTTAATCATTGTCTGAAATCAGTTTCCCCCCCCCCCTCCGCGCGAAGCGCGGAAGCTTTGACGTTTCATTGAATTATTAGAGAAAGAAGATGATTCGTAGTTTCATTCTCGAATCTAAATCCTTGTCTGAATTCAGTTTTTCTCCTCCCGCGCGTAGCGCGTAAGCTTCTGACGCTTCATTAAATTATGAGAGAAAAGAAGGTGATTCGTCGTATCATTCTCGATTCTTAATCCTTGTTTAAATTCATTTTCCACCTTCCGCGCGAGGCGCGGAAGCTCTGACTTTTCATAGTTTAATGAAATTATTAGAGAAAGAAGATAATTCGTTGTTCCATTCCCGACTCTTAATCCTTCTTTGAATTCAGTTTTCCCCTTCAGCGCAAAGCGCAGATGCTTAACGTTTCATTAAATTATTAGAGAAAGAAGACGATTCGTCGTACCGTCCTCGATTCTTAATCCTTGTCTGAACTCAGTTTCTATACCCCCTCCCGCGCGAAGCGCGTAAGCTTTGACGTTTCATTAAATCATTAAAGAAGAGTACCGTTCTCGACTCTTAATCCTTGTCTGAATTGAGTTCCCCCCCCCCCCTTCTCCCGCGCGAAGCGCGGAAGCTTTGACGTTTCATTAAATTATTAGGGAAAGAAGACGATTCGTTGTACCGTTCTCGGTTGTTAATCATTGTCTGAAATCAGTATCCCCCCCCCCCCCCTCCGCGCGAAGCGCGGAA